TAAAATTAAAATTCATATCCATATATACAAATGGAATCAAATAGAAGTAATCGGAATTTAAGGTAGAACCAATGGAAGGTTAAATATCTTCCCTTTTATTATATTTTATTATCAAATATTTGGTTTCAAACAAATCGACAAAATAAATTATAATCGACACAAAACGACCAACATATTTTGGCAATATAAAAAATCAAGGTGTGTATATATATATATATACACATAGGATACTAAATTATAGAATTTATTTAAATAAAATGTAAATAATATGATTTTCCCAGATTTTAAATGGGTAATTGTTTTTCTCGTAAGCCGAACTTTGCGGAATCTTGCATTGGCCATGGTGAGTTCGAAGGGTTGGACCAATTTTTTTTTGTTTGTCTGGAAATCGGTAAACCCAAAATTAACCGGATCTTGTACACAAGATTATGATGAATAATATTGAATAATCAAGTATTTTTCTCAAAGTCATATTGACCCTTCACCAACGGAAGTCCATCCAGAATCGTTGCGCAAAGTGACTGGTATTATCCTCATGTGTTGTATGTCATCCATCTCCATGGTAGATTATATATCAAGAATATGTATTGTTTCTTTCAAAAACCTCATCTTCAAGCTACCTGTCAGATAGGCAACCAAGTCCAAAATCCTTGTGTAAAATCACTGTGCTTACCTGTTTTCAGAGCCAACTAGAACGCTAGGGGTATATATATATATGCATATAATATATACATACACACATACCATACCAATCCATACCATACCCTGACGTTATGTTACGTTACGTTACGTTACATGACATGACATGACATCACATACATACATATGCATATTTATATTGTATACACATATCCCAAAATGAACGGATATGCATTTACATCCATACATATTGTATATATATATATTGTATATATGTGGATAGGTATCAACGTGGGTCCACAATTGAAGGGCTAGGGGACCACCCATCTTCGCTCACCGAAGTTCGCCCAGCCGTTTTGGCTTGGTACCTACAAGTCCTGTACACATTGACCGACCTACCAACAGGGTTCCTTATTGTCAATCAACACAAGCGCCGGAAATTGATGGTTAATTTGGCACTGAAACATTGGGACATATCTAAATGTGTATATATGTATACTATATATACATATTATATATATATATATCATATATGTATATATATATATACACATATGACATAAATCATGCATATATCAACAGATCTTCAAAGATTCTACAACAAAAAAGGACGTCTACAGAATAAGGACACCCAAAGTCTGATCCATTTCGGCCTTGGCGATTTCACCCGTTGATGATGTTCCCAACCTACGTTCAACGACTCGACTCAGGCGTGGTCTGGATGTTTCGGGGGATTCGTCGAATCGATGGATAGATTCCTATGGATCTTCGTCACGGGGATTCGCTCATGCCGGTTGCGAGGTTACAGTAATCCAGTCATAACTAGCATCACTAGGCCATCAGAAATGCAATAGCCTGTAAATGGGTTGGCCATATATACGTATATATATAATTATAATTATATATATATATAGACTTACACATACATGTATAATCATGTGTATATATATATATACTATATAGTATTCAAGAATCATAATCATTCTGGCTTCACTTGCCAATCTGCGAATCCCAAATGTTACGAAAGCAATAAAAAACCCGCTCAGATGTTGTTGGTTTTGACCAAAGGTCCGCACCCTCACTGGGTTGATCAGCAGCCTTTGGAACCTGAGGATTCGGCAAAGGACTCAGACGAGGATGGCTTGTCCGAGATCTTCTTGAAACACTCTGGGAAATTCAAAGATAATGATAATAGAACAAAGCTAGAATAATAGATTTTATAATATAATATAACAGATAAATATAGATAAGATAAGTCACAAGAATAATGATCATAGAACAAAACTCATCATCATGACAAGCTAGAATATGCGGAGCAATCATAGAATAATTATAGATCAATAGGGCAAGGATTGTCCCAAAGCATGGTATATTTTAAGTACTTCACTGCACAATTTCGCGGATCTATATAGAATCTGGAACCATAGTCAAGCCAGGGGTGCTGCACCAGGGTAGCCAGGTGTAAACACAGCCCGTCTAAATAGACAGCAGTGCAGCAGCACCACGCTTGGCAACTCCCTGGAAGAGGTCTGTGGTTTTCCTTTTGTGGCTTTTACAGAAGCTAGCGCCTGTCGATATTCCATCTCCCACGTCAATTCAAGGGGATTAGTTCGATAACTAGGAATCACATGGAATCACAACAATTCGAAACTTTCCATGTCAGATTGCAGTAATCTATAGAACTTGGCAATGGATGGCTATGGACAATGCCTGCTTTGTAGATGATTTTCTTGTCGATGGAGACGTGGGGCGTGTTCGCACTTTTCGAATCACGGGGGCTGAAGCATCACTGAAGCATCACTTGGATGAAATTATCGCAGTTTAATCAACCTGCATCCACATCCTGAAAAAACGTCCCCAATTCCTTGGATAACCCTCTGCAACATCTTGTACCAGTACCTAGGTTCTAATCATGGATGTCACCTTTCTGTAGGTCTGCAAGGTTCTTCATCCGATGAAAGCAGAACAAACACCAAACATCAACGTGGCCTCTTTCACAAGATCAACACCCCTGAATTGGAGTGATTACCCCAATCAAATGGCAAAGTTACGACATCCCTTGAGACCTGAAAACCTCAACGATTCAGAGGGCCCCCTCCATGGCGTGGGTGATCCCCCGACTTGCGGCGGCTAGGTGCACGGGCTGACACGCTTTGCAGTCTTCTGTGGATGTGTCTTCCCACCTCGGCATCCCCAAAAAATGTCTGGTGCCCTGGGAGTCCAAGCAGCTATCTCGATGGACCCCTAAAGGTCCAAAATTTTCTTGCTAGACCCTCTATTTTATGGCAAGATCTGAGATCAGTATTGCCCCATGTTCATATGGCTTCTCTCCCCATCCTTGTTGCTCCATGGTGGTCGCCTTCTCGAATCGCCTGAGGCTTCGCGCTCCACCGGACTCCAGGCACGTCCGCGAGGCAAATCCTGATTGGCTTCGGTCACGACGGCTGCGGTCACCACCTAGCCACTGATCATAGTGGTTATCTGGTTGGTGGTATACCTACCCCTCTGAAAAATATGAGTTCGTCAGTTGGGATGATGACATTCCCAATATATGGAAGAAGATTAATAATGTTCCAACCACCAATCAGTTTTAAGTGGCTGAATTAGTTTGATATGGTTATAACCTCTATGATTCGTGGCTATTGGCTTATGATCATAGTGGTAAATTATAATCTTCACCATAGTGACCAGTGATTATAAGCGGGAAACTATATGAATAGATGATGAATAGCTGGTGAAGATGATGAACACCTTGCAAAAACTGCTAGTGAAATAGTGAAATAGCTGTTGAATATGATGATGAATGATGAACATAGATGATGAATAATAGCTGGTGAAGATGATGTACACTTTGCAAACTGCTAGTGAAATAGCTATGATGAATAAAGAACTGATCATGAAATATGCTGAAGACCCAGCTGGTAACAGAAAACTGGAAGCCATGGACCATGTGACCTTTGATGGAGGATTTTCCCATAGCTATGTCGAAGAACCAAAGGGTAACTATGGTGAAATAAACCATGATGAATCCTTCTCGGTGACACCAAGCTTCTAGGCTCCCCAACTGGTTCAAAGCGCATGGACGTCAACAGTTGAAGACCTCAGCATGGCAAGCCTGGACTTTTCCTTGCTTGAACCAAAAAGGATGGCTTAAGCCGCAAAGAAAAGGGACACCTTTACAGGAAATAAACATTTTTTTGCCAGCAAAAAACCATGTCCGGAACCGTTGGTTTTAGCATTTTCCGTTGGTTTTGTCACCCCTTAGTTTTAGCAACAGGGATTTAGCCAACGGAAATGATCCGAGTTGCCACCAATTTTCTGAGGCCTCATCCTCTGGTCATCCAACGCGTCAATGAAAATTCATTAATATCATGAAAGAAAACAATATTTCCAGGATATTTGGCATTTTCATGGCATTTTCCAAGTCTCCATGGAATGTTGGATTATCAGAGAAAGCCCCAGCCAGTTTTTTTTGCTGTTCGGGATAACCATCTCAGTTTGTATCTCAGGGACAAAACATATACAATAATCATTAGAAACACGGGTGGTTCACTAGGCTTGATTGGGGTCTTTCGAAGTATTCTGCCATTCAAATTTGGATATTGTTCATAAGCCGCTATTCAAGTCGTTCAACTCTCCTCTAATTTTGCAACCTTTTTGCCCAAAACACCCCGTGGGGTCTTTCAATCATTGGAGTTCCCTCCAACTCAGTAGGATCGGTACTATATATAATATATATAAAATACATTAAACATCATTAAACAGGGTTCATTCATCTGAGGTTGACTTTAGAGTTTTGCACCAGGGACTTTTTGTTCACGGAAATCCATATCTATCATATCCCCCAACATCCAGGCAGATCCATGGTGCTTGAACCGCAAGGGCGTGCTACGTCTGAAATCCCGTGTTTTGGAAGGATGATAAAACAACCAATAGTCAATCTGGTAGACTAACATAACTAGATCCGTTATAGTTATGGGCTATGTTCAATCGATAAAATCCGAAAAAAAATTACCGGAGGGATTGTCAATCTGGAATTCAGTTCGGCTGAGGCGACCCCAGCCGGATGGCCTGCAGAACCCTATGATGACGTGTTGGTGGTGTTAGCTCCCTATGTTTAAGACCACCAAGCAGTGTTGTATTTGTTCAATTTTCTTCATATCCCCATTAACTGTTGCTGATATTCCCTTTTATAAATAGTAAACACACCATTTATATATGCGTGGTAAACCCGTTGTGTGATCTAAAGGCATCATAATAATACTGCCACCAATAATAAGCGATGACTAATCATAATGAGCACAAAAATAATAACAATCATCATCATCATCATCATCATCATCATCATCATGATCATCAGAATGATGAACTGTCCTTCTTCCAAAAAATAATGAGCCAAGGCAGTCCCGGTCTTGCTATCTGCTTGGTTTTCTTTGTTGGCCGACCCGATGTTTTCTCTTCAAATAGGTTATATATATATATATAGATATAGTTATTTGGAAAACTATAGGTTTTCATATATATATATATACTATCAATTGATAACAAATAACTATATATATCAATTGATATCATATATGCCATGGTCAAAACATGGTTACCATGGATGTATATGGAATATGGTCATCCACCACATCATCGGAATCCTCAATGGGTGGGTATATATATATAATACAGTACATTGTATGAATCCACATTAATGGAATGGTGACCATCCTGCAATGTGCGCAATTTACCCAAGTTTGACCATGTCACAAAAAAAATTATGGCCTTGGTCACGGAAAGCTGCAAAAAAGCTACTGTTACCTTCTAAAAAACAAAAAATCAACATCCATCAAGTATCCTTAATCATCTTGACCCGCCCCCCATCAGTCGAAGTGACAGTCCTCTTGTCCTAGCTCTACAGGTCTCCAGGCCTCGTGGTGTGTCCCCAGGAGATGTCTGGACTATTTCACGATGGAAGATTTCTAGTAAAGCAATCTCATCGTCCACTGTAGTAACCATCCTAAACCATCCCGTTGAACTCCTGAAAAGCCACTGGCTATGCAATGCCAAGAACGGTACGACACCAATGGCATGGGATCATCGCAATTTTTTGAATGGCAGAGATAACTGGCATTCAGGCCCTGGTAGCCACCATCGCCAGGGTGGGTCATAAGTCACAACTGACAGGTCACTGAGGTCAGAGACATCTTGATATATCTTGATGTGAGGCAGACCGTCCATGGCTAAATCACCACAACATCCACAACTCATTTGGGTATGGGTCAAAATTAGGTACCCCAATAATTGGATGGTGAATAATAAACTAGAGACTAACATCTGTGGTCCCACATCGGTCTTCCATTTTGACCCACATCCATTTCCACAAACAGAAACAGAATCTGCAGTGAGGTCAGCGAGGTCGCTGGGTCGCTGTGACTTGCACCAAACCCTTTGCGCAGGGTCCCTGGGCGGTCGTAGAATCCTGGAAGGCATTGATCAATTTTACAAGGTGCTACCCCCAGCACTTGGATTTTAGATCCATCTTAGAATCTATATATACTGGTTGGTGGTATACCTACCCCTCTGAAAAAAAGAAAGTCACTTGGGATGATTATTCCCATATATTATGGAAAATAAAACATGTTTGAAACCACCAACCAGTGTATATATATATATAATTATATATATATAACTATCATTAACTATCGATCTCTCTACCAAAGGCCCTAGCTACACTAACAAGGTGAGTAACTCGGCCGGGGTCCCTTCCGCTGTGCTTCCCCACATCCAGGCGCACTTCGCCTCCTGCCCAGCGCAAGATGCCCTTGAAGGGCTGTCCCTGAAAACGGGTCGGTCAAGGGGATGAAATGGGACTGATGAGGTATGCCGGTATGCCACGGTAGTAGTGTAGAGGGATGTAGAGGGTATTCCCCAAGTTGTGATCCAAAAATGTCTGTTTCATGGAATATGGGAACATGAGGTTGTGGACCATTGGATATTTTTGGGGTACGCTATTTCCAGGCAAAGCTAAAATGGGAAGGGTTGCTTCGGAGTTCAATGACAACAACGACATTGGGATTTAGATCAGCCAGTCATGGAGAATTCAACACTGTCTAAGCATTGGTGGCCCATCTTTGCAAATGTTCCCCCGCTAGCTTGGGGTGCGGGAAGCACACATTTGACATGGAAGCCAGTGGAAACCAAACAAAAACAGGGTATCATTCTGCTTGGGACCCCCGAGTCTTGGACTTGGATTTGACTCCGGAGCTGCATTCAGTGGCTTCCATTCTCATACATCCACCAACATTTAGGACCCCGGACGTCGTCCGGAATGTCGCGACGGTGCCCGCAGACAAAGACCATGAGCTCTGGCTCTAATTTGCTGTCCTGTGGCCAGAATCATGGGACCTGGATATCTTCATGGAGATGTCACCAACAAGGGTCCAAACACCCACAAGTCACCAACAGATTGGGACATTTTGGCACCAACCCTACAGACTCTGCCAGCTCTAGCAAGCTAATAAGTGGCTTAGTTTGCCAAATCAAATGTCAGAACTGATTGGTAAGAAGGGTCCAGGGTTCTGGTCTGAAACACCAACAAAATCAAATCAGTTATCAAAAAAACACATGTTCACCAAGTGTTCTAACTTGTCAGAACGTCACAGCCTTGTATAAAGAAACATCAAAATCACCTTGCAGGTCGGCAAGAATCCGTCTGCACTAAGGGAATGATCATCATGATCCTCCGAGCATCGCGCCGTGGCTCCTCAAGGATGATGGGAGTGACATAGATGTAGATTCCAACCTGCCATGTTTGAACATTGGGCAAGTCATCCCTTCGCTAGGCAAAAATCATCAAAAATCCCCTTGCGCAAGTGCCAAACTTGGAGTATCCCCCAAAAAAAGGAACGGTCAATCAAAAAAGCAACCAGAAATTGTGGGTCCGCCTTGAGTCTTAAATTTCGACTTGTACAAGCTATGATCAATGAAAAAGACAGTGGTCATGTACCGTTGTACCGTTGTACCGTTGTACCCCTCAATACAGGCGCGTCAAGGAACGTTGTAAAGCCCAGCAGTTGACTCAAATGTGTTGACCCACAACTGGCAATACACGCTGTAGCTCCAAAACTTCTGAATCGCACACTGAACACTGAAACCCAAAGACTGGCTCAGGATACCATCTGGTTATTTAACATAGCCATAGAAAATCACCATTTTTAATAGGTAAACCATCTATAAAAGGGCCATCTATACCATGGCTATGTTAGTCATAACCAGAGGGTAATTCATGGAACAAAAAATTAATGCAGAAACTTCTATCGATAGGCCATACTTATCATACTTATCAGATCAGGATCCCATCCCTGTTCCCAGCCCTTTTTTCTTTTCTCATGTCATGGCCATGGTTTCTGAGCACCCCGCTGCTACTTTCACCTGGATGTCCTGGCGACGGGAGCTTTATCGCTGGATGGTTTTTGTTATGGAAAATCTGTGAAAATCCCACTCAAATGGATGATGACTGGGTATGTACCCCTATTTTAGGAAACCACCATATGGAAATGTAGAGTAAATTTCCCTGGAATGTCTATCAAGCAACGCTAAATGGGGATGTCAATGATGTCAACTACCAAAAACCAGGGGTTGGTAACTGTCCCATTTTGGGAATATTGGACATCACCTTATAGTAGCCATTATAGACCATATACCTAATGGTTGGGTGATGTTCAATGGGGACATTTAATGACCCATGAAAACGAACAAAATGATGAGAATTTCAAGCAACAAACCGTGGCACCCCCGAGGTTCCGATGTTTGTTGACCAAATCGTTGAAAGATGGTGGACAACCAACTCGCCTGTCATGACCTGTTGCCGCCTGGCCTCATAGGTGTGAACCATGGCTATTATAGGCTATCCCCAGGAACTGGGAACCATCTTTGACAGTTTCTAATGGGCTTACCCAAGTGGGATCGAATCATCTCGTTTTTCCCATAAATCACCCATAGATTCCAAAGATCATGTTAACTATCATCCCGATAGTAAGGTATAGTAAGTAAATGCAGCTAATCTCCTAAGATATAGTAAGATAATATGTCAACTATCATCTCTAATATAATATGATACTAAGATATAATATGATACTAATGATAGTAGGATATCATTTACCTAGAGATTGGGCATACTTAATTCCAAAGATCATATTATATCCTAATAGTTAATTAAGTGTGCCCAATCTCTAGATAAATGATCACAATTCACCAAGCTGAAATAATTCTGAGGTCCCAATCATAGGGAAAGCTATCAGGACAGGCGGATCCAGGTAGCCTCGCTCACGTTTCGCTCCTGGATGGATAGAGAATGGTGCCCAAAAAATCCCCCAGCGAAGTTGAAGCAAATAGCCAGACCAACTCCTAGATAAAGATAAAATAAATGATAAATATCTAGAGTTAGATGGGTTTACTTGGTGTTTGACTCTGAAGTTGTGAATTAAAAATGGTTTGAAACATCAAAACATTGGTGAAACATGGCGATTAAACAGTTGTTGACCCATCAAATTCCAACGAAATTGGGCTTTAAGTTCAATCTAAACGAGATGATACCAACCAACCAATTTCAAGGCAAATGGAAGGGGCGGTTTCCATAGGAGTGTCTTGAAATCTCGTGGACGACGCGTCGCCACTCCTCCTCCCTGGGTCGAAAGTCCAGCGTCTGCTGCAGCAGGGAACGCTGGCTGAGTTCCAGGCTCACCTGCTTTCGATCAGCCAGATATTAGACGTATATAACTAGCATATACTAATACTAGCCATATATGAATATATCTGGGGGTACTGGATATAGCTCTTATACTACGGTTATAAAATGTTGTGTATATATAAATAATATATATACATATATATATATATTTATATGTATGTATCATACACCATACTGAGATACCATGATACTATGCTTATTTTTGGATGCTTATGGTTGATATGGTTGATACATCTATAGTTCATGGGGGCTTGTAACTGGGGAGCTAGCACCTTGTGGGTTTACCCAATTTTATCCTATTGTGGATGGGAAAATGTACAGGACACCTCTAAAAATGGCAACCATCGCGTCAAAACAAAAAAAATGAGCCCGCGAAGAAAATAGAAAATGGGAAACTGAGCGAATGCTGCAGCAGTGCTGTTTTGCACGCATGACTTCCTATGTAGCGGTCGCTATAGTCCCTTGGGATCGGTGGATGAAGCCACTTTGCCGCCAAGGGCAATCTTTGCTACAAAGGGAAACTCGAGAAAAGCGAGCTGAAAAGCTGGCAGATTCCCTGCTCGCGCAAAATCCATCAAAATCCATTCGCATGATCCTAGGAAAATCCATCTCAGTAGCGGTAGGTGTCCTGCTTGAAAGGACCATCCACCCCGACGCCGATGTAGTCTGCCTGCTCCTTGGAGAGCTTGGTGAGGTTCGCACCCAGCGATGGCAAGTGAAGAGCTGCCACCTTCTCGTCCAACCTTGAATGATTTGAGTGCAGACCACCAAAAAGTAAAACTACTCTCTGGTAAACTAACATAGCTGTGGAAAATCACCATATTTTATGGGAAAATTCACTATTTCTATGGCCATTTTCAATAGTTATGTTAAATTACCAGAGGGTACTCTCTATTGATTGCCCAAATAATCGATTCCCCAGTGGGAAAGTTCTGAAAAACAGAATTAAGCAAGCCCAGGAAACTGCTTGGGCAGCAGGTACACATCGTTCTTGTACTTCTTGTTCTTGGTGCAGTTCTCCAAGATATCCAGCTGAGCCAACACCTGGTTGGTGAAGGAGCAAGACATCACAAAAGATGGATGGCCGGTGGCACAGCCAAGGTTCACCAGTCGGCCAGATGCCAAGACAATCACACCGTGGCCATCAGGGAACACAAAGCGGTCCACCTGTGGCTTGATGTTCTCAACCTTGATGCCAGGGAAATTCTCCAAGTCCTCCATGGCAATCTCGTTGTCGAAGTGGCCGATGTTGCACACGATGGCGTTGTTCTTCATCTTTTTCATGTGATCCAAAGTGATGATCTTGAAGTTGCCAGTGGCGGAAGTGAAAATATCCACCTCACCCACGCACTCCTCAATGGTGACCACCTGAAATCCCTCCATGCACGCCTGCAAGCAGGGTTGGGCCTAGGGTTGGTTTAAACGGTTCAAACTTCAAACTGTTCAAACATTATTTCTGTTTATATAAACATGTTTGAACGATGTTTAAACCGAAAACGTTTATATAAACGAATCCGGGATAGTGGGGACTCTAGTGAATTTGTTGAAACATGTTTAAACAAAATCCAAGAGATTGTGGACCCAACCACATGAGCTTGCCGAATCAAGCACTGAGAAATCTGCTAGTGACATCATGGCCTGCAAGGCGCAGATGGGATCGATCTCAGTGATCAGCACGCGGGCACCAGCACCCCTCATGGCGAAGGCGCAGCCCTTTCCGACATCTCCGTAGCCGGCCACCAGGGCACGCTTGCCGCCGATCATCACATCGGTGGCGCGCATGATGCTGTCTGGCAGAGAGTGTCGGCAACCATAGACGTTGTCGAACTTGGACTTGGTCACGCAGTCGTTCACGTTGATGGCAGGGAACAGCAGCTCACCCTTGGCGGCCATTTCACGAAGGCGGTGCACACCAGTGGTAGTCTCCTCGCTAACACCCTTGCACTTGGCAGCCATTCGTGTGTACTTGGTCTTGTCCGCCTGGATGGAGTCCCTCAACACCTGCAAGACACACTTGAACTCGGCGTTGGTGGTGCTGGCTGGATCTGGCAGGCTGCCGTCCTTGGCAAACTTCTCCTCCAACTCCTTGCCCTTGTGAACCAACAGGGTAGCATCACCTCCGTCATCCACCAGCTGGTCGCATCCATCCGCGCCTGGCACTGTCATCATCTGCTCAGTGCACCACCAGTACTCTGGCAAGGTCTCACCCTTCCATGCGAAGACAGTGGCGGTGTTAGCCTTGGCGATGGCAGCAGCAGCATGATCCTGAGTGCTGAAGATGTTGCATGAGCACCAACGCACCTTGGCACCCAAGGCAGCCAAAGTCTCAATGAGGACACCGGTCTGGATGGTCATGTGCAGGGAGCCGTTGATGTTCAACCCCTTGAAAGGCTGTCCAGGTCCGTACTCCTTCCTGGCTGCCATGAGGCCTGGCATCTCATGCTCGGCAAGCGTCAGCTCCTTGCGGCCAAACTCGGCCAAGCCCATGTCCTTCACCTTGGAGTCCGCCATGGTAACAAGATTTCGGGAGATTTCGGGAGATTTTCCAACCAGCTTAGTTCGCGCGATGCTTGAGCCAGGCATCCAATAGCAATAGTATATGAAATATTATGAAATGATATGCAATATTTCACCACGCTTGCGACATATCCAGTCTCAACTGCTTGAGAAGTTCAATCCATTGCAACTCTCATCCGCCTGGAGCTCACGGGAAGGCACCAGGATCTCCACTTCCGCCAAGCCCTAGAGCGGGCCCCGGATGGCCCAGGGGAACAATGGAGGTGGTTTTCTAGGGCAAGTTTATAGGAAATCGTCTTGTTTCTTTCTATTTTCCATGAAATCTATGCTCTATGGCATACACCATATTTTTTTTCTAGGGAAACCATTGATTTTCGTTGTGGATATGCGTTTTTTTGCCGGAAGAGGATTTGAGATTTCCGCGTGCCCCATTTTTTGAGGGCCATAAACTGGGGGTATTCACCATGTTGACAAAGCCCATATCAAATGGATGGATTTTGTGTACCCTCTGGTAATTTAACATAGCTATAGAAAAAAATCAATCTTTAAATATCTTTAATAGGTAAACCATCTATAAATGGGCCATTTTCCATAGCTATGTTAGTTTAGTTTACCAGAGGGTTTTTTTGGGTACTGAAAAGACCATGGGACAGGAATAGCCAAATCATGTGATCAACGATCGACAGCTGTGTTGATGGGGGATGGTGCTCAGGAACTGGTAACCATAGTAGTTATTACTGTACCCGGCACAGGCCCACTGAATGGGGCCGAATGGGGACTGTTAATTAACCATAATTTTCACCACTTACTAAGTGATCCTCCAAGTATTGACCATACATGACCATACCTACGTCTTCCGAATTAATTTCATTTCCGCCTGAATCACAAAAGCAGCCTGACCAGATTGTCGGCTGAACTTTGCACATCGGGCGGAAACCGGATTCCCATGGGTAAAAAGCGCACGAAGGAGGCGGAAATACACACGAAACGGACGGGAAGCTCCAAATGCTGGCAGAAAAGTTCAAAACACGCAACAATTTCAGCCTGAATAGCACCGGGCTGAAATTGCAGCCTGAGAAAAGTCTAGGTATAGATCATGATAGAGCTATCTTCCCGGATCGTAGAGTGACGTAGCACAAGCTCTGCGTGGAAATCAAAGAGCTACAATTTCCTGTTCTCCAATTATTTTTGCAGAATTTACTCAGGAACTCGTTTCCTGTTTTTGTCTATCGGCTATCTGAGAAACGAACATCGTGGTTCCAAATCCATAGGATCCATGTATGGCATATATGCTTTTACATTTGGGGTATATTGATGGTAAATGTTACCATATATAGCATACATGGATCATATATACCATCATGTATCCATATGTAGCATCCCAAGCATCCTGGGCGCCCGGCCTCACTTTCCTTCGTCTCTCCCAAGCGGATGCCGTCCTGGGGGCCAAAGGCCGACATGGCGCACAGCGGTTCAGCGACAGGTGGTAAACCAGTGCTGCTTAAACGAGGACCACTACTCAGGTATATTATATTAAATTATATCATATTGTATATTTACAGTATAACCTGTATATATATATATATTATATATACAGTGTGTATATATATTATATATATACACCATTGTTTGAATTCCAACGCACCAAGATTCGCTCATCTTGTGTGAGTTTCAAGAGAAACATCTATATAGTTGCACAGTTGGTACAGGATGTAGCTACGGTAGCTACGACAACTGCAATGTGCTTTGTTCACCTCAGGAGTCCGGAGCAAAGTTCTGATTGTATGACCTGGATACCCATAGGATCCATGTACGGTATATATGCTAACATTGGGGATATATTGATGGTAAATGTTACCATATATAGCATACATGGATCCTATGGGATATGCTGCTTCCCCCAATTGTTGCTACTCGGTAGCTATGCTCACACATGTTCTGCTTCAATCCCACCAAATTTCGATGACATGTGTTTATCATTGCCCATAGGATCCATGCTGCTGCTATATATGGTAACATGGATCCCATCAATATACCCCAAATGTCAACATATATACCAGCACCATGGATCCTATGGGTTGTTTATTCCCATATTTTCTCACACCCCGTTCCCCCATGCGCTCACTGCGTTCCGAGCGGCCGCCAAGGCATCTACACGGCCAATAGCCACTTGGCAACACGAAGTGGCACTCTCCACGCGCAAGGTACCGGTTGGGGGAGCCCAGGCTAGGACCTCGGCAGATGGCTATAGGGGTTATGGCAAAACCTGGCTCCATTGTTTTTGTTGGGGAAAAAATGACTGCCGTAGCGTAGTGAAAGTATCAGGGATCCAAAAAAGGAACGTCCAACAAACATGGGGAGGTCATCATCAACCATCCAGATTTAACCAACTATTCTGGTCTTTGACGCCAACAAATCAACCATGCTACGCATGGTGAGAAAAGGATTTGAACACTAGCAGGAATGGGGTTTGTATGCAGAAAAAATAGTTTTGAGCAACCAAAAGCAATCCTTGGCTATACTCAACACTGGCTAGTGGCTACTGCCTAATCATTGACAATCACAGCATACCTTGTACATGGCGGCAGTAGAGCCTTACCAATCAGCCAAAGGCTCAAGCTACTGTGGAATCAACATCTCACAAATCAAATCTTTGTCACTGCTCCCATCAAGCAACAAATGAAACAAGCCACTGGTAAACAGTGTCAAACTGATCTGAGATACGCTTGCGACTGGTACAGTAATAGTCCCAAATCTATCCAACCCACCATCTCGAAGCAAAGGGAACTACTTCAGGAGGGATGAGTTTCATGGAAGAAAAACGGGGTTGAATTTCCAGACCCAAGGGCTAACCTTCGCTTGTTTCTACTACTAGTAGTAAACCATGGCATGCCGTGGAAACCCAAACAACCGGAAACTTGGTATGTCGCGAGTCTGAGCATAGGCCCCATCAGTCTGTAATGAAATAAGGTCAAACAAAACCATTTATCTGAGGTACATGCGTCAAAATTGGAGTACTAATAAACCCAAAAAAATGTGTAGAATGTGTCCTTTTAGTATTCAACCATCCATTTTGGGAATCAATCATTTTGGGAATCAATCGTTTTGACCCATAGCCATATACATCCTTTTAACAATTGACGCTATATTGACTTAGGTGTTCCTAAGCCTCCCATTTTTGTGGCTGAAATCTCAATTTCAAATATAGCCCCCAAAACCATGCCGAAAAATATGTCCAGGATCGTAGTTCGCTGATGATACGACCACCAAAGCTCGGCACCCGACCGGCAACATGGAGCGGAAACGCTGACCCCCGAGGCTTTCAGGTTGCACAGTCTGGGCCTGCGATGAAAAATGGCCCGGCCCGCTGGCTGGGAAGTCTTCGATACTCATGGAGTATCATCCCACAAATTGTAACTGCTTAGTAACCCTACCTATGAAGGCCCTGATTCATGTGTTATCTCTTATCCTGTGCATGGCATTGTAAACTGGGTTATAACCCAACTTGTTAACCAGTTATTAAGTGGGGTGAACCACCAAGTGAATGGAGGTTTATAGCTGGGAAAAACATTGAACTAAATAAGGAGTTTCTTAAATTCCCAGAGGGTAGGATCTGTGGGTTTCTCAAAATGTTGGGGATTGGCTTAAACATATATTTCAAAATATGTTAAATTCGAAACTTCATGAGGTTATCACCCCTTTCTGGTAAGTCATTGGGCAGGTGTATCATGGGGTTTACCACAATATCACCTAGGTCACTAGTGTATGACTTCTCGACTTGGGGTGCCCCTTTTCACCATTTGTTTCCTTGTCAAAAATGAGCAATCGCAACATTCCCCATTCTGGGAAACTCCAAAATCTGTGGGACAACGACCTCAAGTGGGAAGCTCCCATTGAAAAAACATCTCCTGTCTTTAGACACTCTAAACACTCTAAGCACCTCATCGCGCGCGGATCCGTATATAGTACATATTTCACCACCGAAACTCACGGTGATTTTCATCCATCTTCTGGATGAACTCACCGTGAATTTTTGTTCAAAGCACCATGAGCTGCTCATGCTTGGCGTAGAAAACTTCTATCCATTAATTGATTTAAATACACCCCAAAGTCCCAGGGTAAAGGCATGTTTTTAGGCGTCATTTCCCCCCGACGAAGGAGTCGATCGGACGAGGAAAGGGGACCCGGTAAACCAACAGTTGCCATGGAAACCATGGCCGGTTTCGATGTTTTACCTTGTAGACATGGGTTTTTTTCATAGCTACGTGAAAAAAAATAAGCGAATCTTTATATTGATCCAAGTTTTCACCATGACACTGTGGATGGGCCAGCGAAATCCTGCACCAGGCAGGCTACCTATTGGGATTCCTGGAAAGATTTTTCGTGAATCATGGGATTCTCATGGGATGTTTACCATCTATAAACAATCAATTGGTGCAGGATTTCTTACAACTCCAAGCCTGAGCATCGTGTTTGTCGTGTTTGGCCCGGCGATTTCTCCGTGCCTCGCCAGGAGATGACGAAATCCTCTATTGGCGCCAGTATGGGTATTTGACTAACGATCCCTGGAAAAGTATCAACAAATTGAAAAAGAAATTCCAACACACACATATATATATATATTAAAGTTATATATATATATATTAAAGTTATATATATATACACACATTGGCTCCTAAGGCTAGTATCAGTTTCGGTCTCCTGCGAGGGAACCATTCATAGTTTCTACGTTTGGCTTCTATCCTTTGCCGTTGTGCAAGAACATCTATTCATTTAACATAATCATAGACGATCTCATTCATGAGATAGATGAAAACTACAACAGGAGGCACTGCAACATGTCTATGAGCTGAAAGGTCAAATGCGTGCCCAATTGATAATTGCCTTGTTTGAATATCTTGAAACCAATGTTTTCTCTGTGTTTTCAGAAGAGCTCTCAAAACTTGAAGACCACTGTCCTTTTTTCAATATACTCTTGCACTTACTTGGAAGGAACACATTTTTTGTTTGAATAGTACGGCACTTGTCAAAAGGAGTACTACATTGCTTCCACAGGGCCTTTGCAATCTTCTTGAGAGCGCTGAACTTGAAGAGTGCTGCTACACTCTCCAAAAGGATCAGTGCACGAATTTGCAGAACATGTAAAGGAGATTAAAGAAGCGTTGCGCTGGGGGTGGGTTGCTGCATTTTCTCAAGAGCGGAAGTAGTTTCATGAAGGAATACTGCGGTTGCTGACAGTACTGTGCTTGCTGCATAAGATGCTGGAGTTATTCTGGCTGGCTGGAACACGGATTTATTTGTTGATAAGTAATTACATATATATATATATACACACATTTCAAAAGAAGCCTGCACATCGAAAAGGAGCATTGCGCTGTTTTCTGCACGAAATGCAGTAATCAAACGCCACTCCAATTGATATATCAACGTTGTGTAATTGCAGTCAAATTACTACATTGACTGCCATTGATATGTCCAACTACTTAAGCAATGTGTTAATCAATTAACAGTCTACATTCTTCAAGGAAACCCAGACTTTCCATTGAAATATCTCAAACCGCTGGATGTGGCATGGACCTTGTGGATACCTGATACCTTGCCCGGTTCATATCATGTGGAAATACCGGTGGGATTGCTATGGGACCCATCCGCCTGCCGTTCCAAGGGAGTGTTCGGAAGCCCTGGCGACGTCATTCGTCAATGGGAAGGATGACATCCCATTTTTTGGGACAAGAAAAAATGTTTGAAACCGCCAACCAGATGATGTACTGGCACATGTACAGGAAGTAGGCAACAAAAGTAGGGATAGAACTTTGAAGCTGAAAGATCTGAAAGAAAATGGGATAGAACTGACGTGAGAACCCTTTAATCTCGTAGAAGCTTTTGCAGCGGGGACGGATCCAAAAGTACTGCACATCTTAGAAATATGTAATGCATTGTAATGCTCATTAGATTGCTTTGCATATATATATATACAGCCTGTTTCATGCCAGTCAGAATGCAAAACTATGAGATAGGGAAGATAGGGAAAGGTCCCGGATGACCAATGGGTCTGATCCACATGCTTTGGCGATTTTGCCCACCTGCAGCTTGTTAAACCTTACGATCTGGTTATTTAACATAGCCATGGAAAATGGCCCATTTATAGATGGTTTACCTATTGAAAATGGTTGTTTTCCATGGCTATGTTAAATAACCAGAGGGTAATTGTTTTTTTCCTCCAGAAAGGGGTCTGACATGGACGCAATCTCTTGGCCACGCATGAGTTGGTAGCATGACCAACCCAAAACCATCTGCCCAGCGGACAAAATTGAAAACCACCTTCTGGCGAAAAATCTGGCAACATGAAAGCCCCACACCCCAGAAACCATGAAAAGTTTTGTCGTGATGAAACCACTAATCTGACTGGGACATACGACTGCACCTTTTATATCATCATACATGGCGGTGTTTAAATGACCCATGGGATTATAAATTAGATGTGTTCCATTGTTTTCCTCTTGAAAATTCATTTATTTCCCAAAACCAGATTTGTTCACCACAGGTTTTTTATTGGCAAATTGACTGGAGCAGCACCGCAGCTTCGCACATTGCACACGTTCACAACAGATTGCTGGATCAATATCCTCCATGTGGTGATGCTATCTGACGGTACGCCTGGATTTCCCTGCTAAGTAGAGACTGTTTTGGTTTATCTCTTTTCAAACACTCATACATTCCATACATCCCATACATGTATCCTAGTTTCCACTTGAGTTTTGAGAGAAATCATAGTTTTCAAATGTGCCCCTGGAGTTCACATTCACTACCTCCTATAGTTGTAGACAAATACCCTTTAAGTTTTGTAAACTCATCATGTTGGTTGGTTTAACACTCCATATTTGTTGCTTCACTCTCCGGGCAACCCATTAACACCTGCAGCTAATTACTGAGCGTCTCGTTGACATCTGGAATTTCCTGTCACGATTCTGGAACCCTTTGACGGCTTCAACCTTTGGGAAGAATCAGGGTTCAAATACCCTCTAATCAAGCATGGCAACTGGAAAATCCATGAAAATCCAGTATAAACTCGGAGGGAAAGTCATGGGAAAGTCATCGAACATCATCGAACTAAATGGTGGATTTCCCATTGCCATGTTTGATTACTGGAGTTATGTTCCAATACAATCCAATACACTGAATGCTTTTGGAGGCACTGCAAAAAGCTGCTCCAGCCGCTGCTGAATAGAATAGCAAACTGCTCTCTCTTTTGGAGTGCAGTGTCTAGACAAGTCCAGCGTTGAAAAACTGCAGGGGCGTATATTTCAATGCGAGGAGTTGTGGCAACGACTTTCGTAGCCGTGAATTGTTGGGTGCTGAAAAGCTGCTTATATCCGTGTGAATTGTCATTCATTCATTATAAGGAATTTAGGAAATTCAACTGGTGTTTCACCACCCAAAGTCGGTGTCCAACTTCCCCCAAAAAAGGGAAGTCTTCCCCCAAAAAAGGGAAGTATGGACAGACCCCTCTAGCCACCGTTCCAGCATTGATTGCAAACAGCCTCCGGCGCTGAACAAGGGCCGTTACAGTCTCAGGGAACCCAAACAGAGAAGCTTGTGGTGGGTCGGCAGCCTTCTGTCTTGCTAATTCAGCTGTGGCGCAGCTTTTCGCACTGTTCACCCAATATAAATCACCTCTGACGAAGCAAACCTAGGCCTATGGCCTATCATTCCTGACGAAGCAAACCTAGGCCTATGGCCTATCATTCCTATCATTTTTGGGGGTGACAGGGATGAATGTTCTGAATGTTTAGGGTGAAACCACAGCTCAAATTCCGTCTGAAATTGAAAGCAAATGCGGAAGCAGACTGAAAGGGCCATTCAGACCAAGGGTACAATGTGATTCGTGCATCATGGCCATACTGTATTGACTATGAAGAGATGGTGGTATTGATATCACAGTACAATTATGAGAGCTGTGCATTCCTGTGATTTTCTACTCAAAGATTCACTGTTTTTGTGCATGCTGAGCTGTCCCCTGTTCTGCTAGCAAAAGGTGGATAAGCAGCGAACCACGAATGCGTACATTCAAACGTTAAGTGAATTTAGTGAACAAATGGTGTATTATGTTTTTGATGATATAGTCATATATAATGTCATATAGTCTATGAATTTATGACTGGTCTCAGCACATTTTGAGGGTGCCATTAAAAAATATTGTCAAAATCTTATGGTAAATACTCCATCCTGGAGTTTTCCGTTTCCTAGGGAGTTCATCAAGTGGACCGTGACGCATGACCAATAATTTGTGGATAGCACAAGATCACATCCAGGGCCGATCATATTGGCTGTCTTGAACCCTTGGCCGTGTTGAACCCTTGGTCGGCGAAAATGTCGCTCCGGCAAGGCCATGAGGCAACCAAGGTGAATGCCAACCCACAACACTGGGGCCTTTCCGTGGCCGCTTCCCATTCCAGAATTTGGGGGTTCCGATCATATTTTTAACTGCCATCATGGTGCCGGAAAAAGAAACGCTGGGCCGCGGCCGAACTAAAACGCAGCTTGAAATCCGGCAGTGAATTTTAGAAAACCTGGTGTCGCGCAGAACATGAAATGAAACTTAAGTGGGTATGAAAGGGAGATTGACGGAATAACACGGGATAAGATTGGATTATCATTGTAAATATGAGCTAGTATTGAAAGTTCCACAACAAAAACTAGAGGATTTATCTATGATCAGGCCAATCTTAGTTGGTTACATAGTATTGCTAAAGTATTAGACAGTATTAAACTATATTGAAATTATTGAATAGTATGGATGATATATATATAATGTAATGCATATTAATAAATACCCTGTATTAAACTACACTTCGCCGCCGGGTTCGCCAGTGATGGTCTTACGCAGTTCATCACTCCAAACGATTCGTCACAGTTTATGTTGATGACTGACTAGGGCTCCCAAAAAAGAAACTGAAGGTACAGGATGGGGCCCCATAGTTAGCTAAGTTGGTTTATCGAAGGAAGTTTAGAAGCCGAACTTCCGACAATATGGACAGATGGAAAGCAGAGGTGGGAAGAGTCAGAGAAGAGAAGAATAGAAGAGAGAAGATCAGAGAAGAGAAAGAGTCAGAAGAAAGAAGATGCAGGTGCGCCAAAGGGTAGGAAAGTCGCGAAACACTATATTTTTCCAATGATTTGTGGCTCCGGAGGGTCGAAAAGTAGGCTCGCTAAAGCGGCGGGTGCGGAGCCATCTGGCCAGATGAGAGATGAAAAAGTGCACGCCATTGTGGCGCGAAGCTCATTTCGAAGTCAAAATGTACGAAGCACACCAGCTTCGGACCACTTTTGGAAGTTGTGATATCGAAAAAGTGCACGCTGTTGTGGCGCGAAGCACATTTGGAAGTCAAAATGTACAAAGCACACCATGTTCGGACCACTTTTGGAAGTTGTGATGTCGAAAAAGTGCATGCCGTTGTGGCGCGAAAGCACATTTCGAAGTCAAAAGTGCTAAAAACTGGGGGTACGGAGCACTTTTGGACGTTCAGGTGTCGTTTTGCGTGGCAGGCGCAGGGGATTGCGCACCTTGTCAAAAATGAGTAAAAAACGTGAGGGTTTTGCAGCAGTTTCAACTACAACCACTACATAGACTCCACTCCGCTACACTACACTACATTACACTACATTACACCACAACTACAAGTACAACTACAAGTACAACTGCAACTACAATCACACTACATTACACTACACTATACTAATTACATTACACTACACTAGTTACATTACAGCACGCTACACTACAGTACGCTACACTACACTAACTACAACTACAACTACGGCTACGACTACAACTACGCTACTTTACACTACACTACATTAGACTACCTGGGTACTACATTACTCTACATTACATTACACTACACTCATTACACCACCACGAATGTAACTGCAACTACACTATATACACTAATTACACTACACCACAACTACAACTCCACTACACTACAACTACAACTGCAGCTGCACTACATCATACTACATCCAGCAGTTGTGGGTGACGTGACCGACCAGGTGACCTCTGCAACCATTGTAACCACTCAAAAAAACACCAACTCCAACCACCTTTCAGTCCATCAGTGGATTCGCTCTGCCATCCGTGATTAACAACGACCAAGCTCTCCTATAAGTTTCCTATTTTTGAAACTTCTGCCACCGCCTTGTGCGGTACTACTGGTACTATAATAACAATAAAGTATGATACTTATAACTATATTCAGATGGGGTTATAAACCAACTTATAACTGGGGGGCCCCATCCTGTATACCAACACAGAATGACAGAATGAGATTGAGAGTCTCACCCACTCATACTATACCAGCAAAATCCCAAATCAAAAAAGATACGTTGGATACTTCATTCACATATTAGACTCACAGCAAGAAACGTGATACACAATTCGAAATCAATTCGATATCTATGTGTATTATAGGTGTCTGTGTCTGTGAATTTGTGTGTTTGTACACCAGCCAACTCTTTTGTGAAACACCACCACCGCTTGTACTGTATCCAAATTTGCAGCAGATACCAGCTGGGATAATACCAAAAAAGATGTGGTAAACCCACGGTCATGATCACGCCGGACGGTGCGGGTCTCTGCCAGTCGGGTTCATGCCATTCATCGAGATGGTAGTGACCAAGTCCCCGGTGGCAAACTCCAATGCTTGCGGTAAAAATGGGTATGTTTGCTTGTTGCTGCATTTACCAAATCACAAGTGGAATCTGAAAAAACCTCTTGGATTTTTTTGGCCGCCCTATCTATGCCTGATGATAGCCACTAATTATGGTGTTTGGACACCACGCAAGGACCCTCGGATTTTTGAAGATTTTCCAGGGGTCCATTCCCCACATGTTTCGCAATCAGAAGGACTCCTCCGACCAAACATATGTACGGGTTAATGATGAATATGGATCTACAACCAGTCACCCACGTATCTGATCTAGCTGGATTGTCCCAAAAGGATACCATCGCAATTCAGGGCCTTTGATGTTCCAAGATTTTCCTTTTTGTTGGAATCTGCTTCATGGTTTTGCCCCAATTTGTGGCTATCTCAATGGTTTTTTTCCCCTGGCTGGACTGACCTAAGGTCCAGGGGTACCACAGGCCCTTAGGCGAATCTTCAGTGCCCCAAAAAGCCGTTTTTTTGTTTGCCTGGTGTATTTTCCCATCCAAATTTCACCAGAATAGTCACCAAAATTCGAAATCCTAACAAACAAAGTCACCCCAGCGTAAATGGCCTTGATTTCCCAGCCTGGCTTATGAACAAAAACATGACTCAGCTGTCGCCGGCCGGAGCATCACTCTTTGGTGGAGATTTTAGGATGTGCCTGAGAAGACGGAGGGTTGCTGCATGCTTTGCGGTTGTGGGTGTCGTCATCGTCCTTGTTATTTTGTTGTGGTTACGGCTAGTGTTTGGTTGCTGTCTTGTTGGTGTCGGTGTTGATGATGTTGATGTTGATATTGATGCTGATACAGTTTAGATTGATGTTGATGTTGTTGTGGTTGTGGTTCTTGATGTTGTTGTGGTTGTCGTCTTTGTCGTCGTTGTCGTGCTGGTCGTTGTTCTTTTCCTTGTCCTTGTTCTCGCTGGTGCGGTGCTGGTGCTGGTGCTGCTTCTGCTGCTTCTGCTGCTTCTGCTGCTGCTGCTGCTGCCGCTGCCGCTGCTGCTGCTGCTGTTGCTGCTGGAACGGGGCCCCACAAGAATTGCAGATTTAACAGGATCTATGATGATGTTGTTTGATGATGTTTGATGTTGCTATATTGGAACTGCAAGCTGGGCTGCCACGCTGGTTGGGGGCGTCGTTGCACCTTTACGCTTGAATAAATTGAAGGTCCCTGCTGGCGCCCCGCGCGACCTGGGCCAGACCAGATCCACAGACGTCTGGCTTCAAAGTAAATACTTGGGAGGGTACATCGGGTACCCTCTGGTTATGTCAAAATAGCTATTAAACATGGCCATTTATAGTGGATTTTCCCATTAAAAATAGTGATTTTCCATAGGTATGTTAGTTTACCAGAGGGTACCTCCCAAATGGCTAGTGAATGATCAGGAATTGGATGATTAACCATGGAATTGGGTGTATTGTTCAGACAGACAAACCCAAGTAACCCAAGTATTTGGCTCTGAAACGTTGCTTTGACAAACGGCGCAAACCCAGACCCTACTCGCTACCGCCAGTATGAATTCAAATAACCTCATGCCTGGACCAAGAAAGTGATTGAAATGAACTTATGTGAATCATGATCAATCCATCTGAAGTCCATCACAATTCGATAATGATATTTTTTAACACGGAAAGATTGGAATCATCGAGCACGCTGACTACAAATGGCCCAAGTTGGCTCTTGCGTTGCTATTTGTTCGTCGCTTGAGGCGTTTATGGTTGACATGTGTTTGAACCGCCAGTCACCGGTGCTTCTCCATCTTATCCACATTGTATCCTTATCAACAGCCACCAGTTTTTGTTCTTAAATCATCTTATGTAAAACATCCTAAATCACAATTTTGATGAGTAAATTACCATGTTCGATTGTTAAACGGCCAGTGATGCTTCCCTGGGGCTAAGGTGCTCTTTTCGCAGTAAGTTGGGGAAGGTTGACTGCGGCGGCCGTGTCACCTGGAAAAGCGGGCCGCAGAGAGGAAGGGCCAAAGTATGTCGAACTTGATCGAACTTGTCACAGCAGAGCAACCCCACAAGAAACAGACAAGTAAAATCCGTTTCTTAAATGTGACAAATTGAACCTGTTCTATTTTGTTGGGGGTACCAAAAACACTGCTGAAGTACGAATGGTATCCTTAAAATTGCTGAAATCTCTGCGATTCTGTGAATGTATTATTATGAATATACCTATCTGTGAGTCCTGTGCATGATTTCAACCGTACACAAATTTGCAAAGCAAGGGGATTGGACGGCAAAATCATCATGTGTTCCTGAACTGAGTTTTTGTTTGTCACACGTATTGGAGTCGCGTCGCTAAGTTACGGCTAGCCTCCACTAGTCGCTGATTTCCGGTGGGGCGAAGTAGCTAAGAGATATACCCTCTGGTTATTTAACATAGCCATGGAAAATGGTCCATTTATAGTTGATTTACCCATTAAAGATGGTGATTTTTCACAGCTACGTTAGTTTACCAGAGGGTAAGGAGAGTCTGCAAATAGCGAAAAGAAAAAATGGGAAATCCTCGGCTCTCTAGGATTCTCTAGGACCATATTGCGGGACTCTATTAATCCCGGGACCCACTTGGGTCATTTAGTCATTTGAGGCTTGTTCTGATTCTAACGATGACAGACCGGCTGGTGGAGTTGAAACAAATCGCCACACTTTTGGCACATTGGCACATTGGCATTTCGCCCATACCAACATGCATGGAACGTGTGAATGTGCAGAATCACATCACTATATATATATATCATTATATCTCATTGTATCTCATTATATATCATTATACATCATTGTATAGCATTATATATCATTATCTATCATTCTCTATCATTATATATACAAGTATATATATATCACTACATATCATTCTATATATCACTATACATATAATTAGTTCTCACTTTATTACAATAATGTATATATATAACAATACATCAATATGCATGCATATACTGTATGTATATATGCATGTATGTATAATATATATATATATATCACTATATATCACCATGTATCACTATATATCACTGTACATCACTATATATCATTATATACATATATATATATATATTTCACTATACATCACTATGCATCACTATACATCACTATATATCACTATATATCACTAAATCTCACTAATATATCAGTAAACATCACCCCATCTATATAATTATATATATATATCACTAAACACCACTATATTTCGTAGTTGTACGACCTGCAGTACTTTGCAGCACAAAATGTGGCCAAATGCACAAAAACACACGGGCGTCCCTAAACCGGGGTCCAATTAGGTCTGCTACCCATCCAGTTGCTTTCTCCATGTCATCAATCTTCCCACTTGCAGTTGCACCCCAGGACCGAAAGTGGATAGTAACAGTAAAATATGTATAAACCCAATTATGTAGGGGTTACCCATATGATACCTTAGTTATATATGGATCTTGGATTAAAAAATATCAAGCAGTGACTGCCGAATTCTGTTTTTTATTATACCCTTCTTATATTATCACATTATACCCCCCCATTTTATCCATGTGATCATTATATATGGAGTGTATATATATATATATATTCATTTGGGGTACCCCCATGACTTAGGAAACCCCCATATGGCTTTTATACTACGGTTCCAAAAAAACCTTCTGGTAAACATACAACTATGGAAAATCACCATGTTTACATATGTTTACTATGTACATCAACTATACATGATCATTTTCAATACCCTCTGGTAAACTGTTCCATAACTATGGAAAATCACCATTTTTTATGGGAAAATCCACTATTTCTATGGCCATTTTCAATAGTTACTCAGTTACTGGCAACGCGAAATCCTGCACCACCCAGCTGCCCAGCTCGGAGCCTCGGGGACGCTGCCGGAGCTCAAATCTCGAGGCGGCTGGCTGCTGCCATAGGTGGCTAAACGAGAAGATCCGCCCAGCTCCTCGCGAGATCCAAGAAATCTGGGAAAATCATGGGAAATTCATGGGAATGATATCCCATAGGATCCATGGTGCTGGTATATATGCTAACATAAAGGGGGTATATTGGTGCTAAATGTTACCATATATAGCATACATGGATCCTATGGGTATAGGAATAATATAGGAAAATAAGCGAAACGACAGGAAGATACGACATTCGGTTCCCAATTCGTTTGACTGTTTCATTGCAGTTTTTTCTACCAGAAAATATTTTTGGTTCCGAACCATGAAGTCGCCCGGTTTCAAAGCCACATGGCCAATCTTAGATACCGATGAGAGTGATCAGAGTGTTCAGTAGTTTATCATGAAATGGATGTATGGTAGTTTATCAGAGTGATTATCCATCATAGTCATGAAATATGGGAGTTGTATCTAAAATGGATTCCACATCGGACATTCTCACTTATCAGAGTGAAAACTAGACGACCGTGTGGCCCGAAAGAAAGCAGGAGGGAGGAGACGAGAAGACAATACACAAGAAAATAGGATGAATGATGATGGTGATGATGGTGGTGATGTTGACGGTGATGAATGTCCTATTGATGTAGCTAGAACCTCTCATTTCAGATAGTTTTTGCAGCGTTTTGCCAGAACTTCTTAGTTTACATGGTACGGCATGTGCAATATTTCAGCATTGTGGAACTTCAACCTTAATTGTGGAGATAGAACCTAGTTTTCCTGTCGCATGATATTTGCTGCATTTTAGACAATATGTTCACGGCAGTGTGAGACTTCAACCGTCCATTTTGCATGGTGCACATGGCATTGCGGAACTTAAACCTTCCTTTTTGCATGGTGTATGCAATATTGTGGAACTGCAACCTTCCATGTAGCATAACTCTTGAGACATTGTAGAGTTCGACCTTTCATTTTAGATCATTCTTGAGGCATTGTGAACCAGTAACTTGTTCAACTCTTCAGTTCCATCTCATTGAGTGTTTGTGGGCCTCACCATCCTCACCATATTGAAATTGTATTCCAATTTTGTCGGTAAAATCCCATTTTCGTCCCCAGATCGCTGCACCTCTCTGATCGCCTGGCGCAGCACTGGTAGGAGCGCATCATTGATGCTTTGTTCCGAGCCGGCCTGGAGAATGGGCTTGTGGAGGGGGTAAAAACAGCCTCGAAATTTCACATGGAGCTTCCAAACCAATGATTTTTCGGGGGCATATGTTAAACTTAGGAACTTTAATAGGGATTCAATGGAATTGAGTCCACAAAGATGATAACCAAGATGATTGGTTTGGTGTACAACTTGGTTTTGGGGTTGAACATCTTGGAAAACAACCCAATTTGTGGCCTATTTTTTTCTTTTGCATCATGTTTGATCAGGCGTGTGTTGGGGGCATACCCAATGTTTGGACAGACCCGCTAAATCTAGGGACGTCATAAAAGCAACAAAAAATTATCAGAATTTTGTCGGCAATTCTCTGATGTGTCTATCCTCATTCCATAGTCAAAAGTGGTTCTGTAAGTGATACCATCTGGTTATTTAACATAGCCATGGAAAATCACCATTTTTAATAGGTAAACCATCTATAAATGGGCCATTTTCCATGGCTATGTTAAATAACCAGAGGGTATACGAAAAAAAGTGGATGGTTCGAACTGTCGCAAAAAAAGTGAACTTTATGTGTGTAAAAAAAAAATGATGCTTAAATTAATGTACTTGAAAAATGTCGTTGATCACTTGAAACCAATGAGATGATGTTCATCCCGTAACTCCACTGGCACTCAACAGCTGCCATTTCAACAGTGCCGAACATTTGTTGCGTTACCGAAAAAACCATCATCTTCGGTGTTCTTTTTGCAGCCCACAAAACTTCGAAAACGTATCCAAAAGTTGAAAACATATAGGAACATGGTGGACAAACGACCATTGTTCTGGACTTTTTGCCATCTTTTTTTTGGGGGGTTGACGACGTCACCCAAGCCTCAAGATCTGAACTTCCTGGGCAAGGAAAAAACATCTGGCTCTGGTAATTTGTTGCCCCCCATCTGAAGGAAAGAGTTGGCAGACCTGTTTGAAGGGATGGAAAAACCAGCTATGATCATGACACCACCAGCCTAGATTTTGTTTCAGGAAAACATCGAACGTCCGCGATGGTTTAGATCAAGAAGCCGTCTGCCAAAAATCCCATAAAATCAACCCCTGTTTTTTACGATTTTGCAGATTACATGGATATATATATATATATATATATGCATATATATATATATATGGATATTCAAATTACATGGAACATGGATTCATATATCAAAGGAGGTGGTCCTTCGGGATAACATGGATTCATCTTATACTGGTTGGTGGTTGACCTACCCCTCTGAAAAATATGATTTCGTCAGTTGGGATGATGACATTCCCAATATATGGAAAAATAAAACATGTTCCAAACCACAAACCAGTATATCTAGTTTCAAATTCTTGATCTTCCTGGGAGTATGTACTTCCACCATGATGGATTTCACCGGAGCCTCACGTGCCCACATTTTTAGGTTCCCTTGATCAATCTGCCGCCATCCTGAGGAGCTGCCTGAGGATCTACAACACTTCAGGGACTAGCCTCATGTAAGCATAGCTATTGAAAATTGTCATTTATGTTTGATTTACCCATTAAACGTTGTCATTTGTTTTTTTTGTCCATGACTTTCCATAGTTCTGTGACTTTAGCAAGGACTGGGACCCAGTCGTTTCGTCGTTTCACCAAGTTTCCCCCGCGCGGCAGTCCACGACACAATTCTTGCATCTGCTTTTCACCTCCCGTGAGGAGCTGATAGGAGCTGGGCAAATCATCTAAGAAACATCAACCATTTAAAGCCATCAGCCAAAGATCCAATCAATCAGGAGATGCTGGATTGAAATGGATTTAACACAACCATGATCATCTGCAATTCGATCCATGGAGAGTAAGCTCCCGAATTGTTTATTCCCTGACTCGGAAAAATTTCGGATCTGTCGGTCAACGGCAGTGAAGGATTGCTTAAGCATTGAGAGATTCAAGTGCTTTCAACTAAAAAACGATCAGTCGTGTAGAATATAGAATCAACTTCGGTATTATTCATAACCATTCAATGATTTGATGGTGATATTGGTGATATTCCAGCATTTTTGAATGGTAGGTACGGTGAAATATGTTAAATCTCCCAGGAGATGATCTCATCGGTTCGCCTTCCAGACACTCAAGATCGCGCGGTTGGCAGATCCACAGATAGCGCCTGGGTCGAAGAAAAGCGAGGCAGACACAACTTGGCAGCCGATGTGTTCCTTACACTTTACATTCACTGTCCGTATATACATATATATATATACAAAGTATATCAAATTACAATCCGCATTCATGATCATGTATATATGCATATATAAAAATATTTAATATATATATATATACACACTTATATACCTAAACAGCCTTGACTTGATTGACTGCCATTAATCAGCTGCAAAGACCCAACTAAAACTCTACAATAAGACCCTACAAACCTGCGGTGCTAGGGTGTCTCTCTGACGCCTAGACGATCAAACTCTGTCATGTTCACTCATGCCCAATTCTTCTATCAGTTGCTGAATCATTTTCCCGATTTCTGACTCTACCGTGTTGATCTTTCGTTCTTGTTGATCACATCATTGTGCCTCCTCGTTTGGCTAACCTTTTCTGATTAAATGACACATGGTTTGCTGGGCATATCAGTGTTGGTGAAAGCTGGTAAAATATTTGTCTGGCTGAATTGTAGCCTATTTTTGAAGGTGGTTCCTCTCATCATTGTCAGATTGTGCCAAGTCGTTATCATTCACTCAGTTTCCTGCTCCCATGACTATTTGTTGCTGACGAATTCTCTGTTTTGGTTGCAACAACCATTCTGCTTGGACAACTTCTCCGTATTGTTTATCTTACCCAGACACAACCACAAAACAACCATGCCAAGCTACTTATCTTTTCTGCTCCTGTCATCGGTTCGTCAGTGCTGGAAACTGCACCAAACACCGAACAGTCGACTTAAAATATATGATAATATATATATATATATATGTATATGTTGTGTACATATATATATATATATGTGTATATGATCATACATGTATATATGTATATATATATGATCATACATATATATATATATATATATGTAATATATATACATATATATATATATTACATATATATATGTATATATTACATATATATATATGTATATGATGTATCCCCCGTTTTTGTGAGCTTTGGGGATTTTGTGAGTTCCATCTCCAGGACAGAACTTGTGCAAAACAGCTATAGATCGGAATTTTTGGGTCAGCATGGTGAGGAGTTTTTAAGATCTTAGGGTCTTATGGATGTAGGCTTTAGGCGTTTGGGAATTATTGCTTCGAAAGCTCAAAACAGCGAGCCTGCGCAGGAATAGGAGCTTTGAACAGAAATAGTGATTGGCGTAGTTGCTGAGACCACGGATAAACTCCAGGCATTTTTCTTTTTTTTGTATACAATATATGATATACCTATATATATACATACCTATATGCATACATATATATGTATACACATGTATGTGTATGCATGCATGCATGTATGTATGTATATATATATATTCTACTGAAGGAAAACATGTACTGTACATGGCCAGGACCACATTTTTCGAAACGCAGGACATGCAGCTTAGCCAGAAAAGTGAAGTGGATCATATGGAGGTTTCCTAAAAATGGGGGGTACCCCAAAATGGATGGTTTTTCTTATGGAAAATCGTACTAAAATGGGATTATGACTGGGTATGTAGCCCCTATTTTAGGAAACCACCATATGGCCAATGACAAGGCTGAAGTAATGGCCTATAATGGATTACTGGCTGAGAAAAATGATCAAGACATGGCTAGGTGGTTTTTCCCATGGAAACCTTCGTAACCGTGTGTGACATAGACCTGATTCACCGTGGACTAAATAATTATATATATATGTATCATTATATATAATATAACATATGTTATTGAATCCTTTTGACCCGCAAATTAGCTGTACACTCAGAACATCATAAGATCCCATCAGCAACACCCTCATGTGACAAAACCTTACTGTTGCAACAAAAAAAGGTGATCTTTGGCAACCCCAACACTTTGTATCCTCATGGTCGTTCGATGTGATTCCCATCAAAAGTGCTATCCATTACAGTATGACTCCATCCGAATCCTGAATTCACCATCTACCTTTTGGTAATTTAACAGTCTGGATTGGAAAATCATCTTTCATACAATAGACATAAATAGACATAAATAGACATAAATAGACATAAATAGACATAAATAGACATAAATAGACATAAATAGACATAAATAGATATAAATAGATATAAATAGATATAAATAGATATAAATAGATATGAATAGATATAAATAGATATAAATAGATATAAATAGATATGAATAGATATGAATAGATATGAATAGATATAAACAATAAATATATATATACTGTATCATATGATATCATATGATATCATATGATATAATATGATATAATATGATATAATATGATATGATTTAATAGGTAAATCATCAAACTAAATTGACCTGTTTTCGCTATCTGAACATTTAACAAGAGGGTACGAAGCCCGTCCTGGGAGAAGATTCTGGTAAAGTGCCTCGGGGCTCGGCTGCCAGGTATACTACCGGCTTGGATTACCGAGCGGTAAATCTGAAAGCAGAAAGTCCCCACAACGAATCCTATGTTCATCTTGAATCTTATCAAATCACGCTATGCTTGGCACTCAAGCACACATGGGTTTCTTGACATCCAATATATTGTTCATTTCTTCATATGGAAACCCATGTTTTCGGGCTACCCCAAGTTTGAGAAACACCCATATGTCCCAGTATATGTGCCATGGTCAAAACATGGTACTGTATATGCCTTATGGTCATCCATCTCATATTTTCGGAATCATGTTTTTTTTTTTTTAATGGCTATCTATATATCTAAATCCCTTTTTTCCTGTGGGCAACCCATTAATACACCTGCCATTTGGGTATACCTTAAAATGGTGATGACTTGGGGGATATTTGGGGATGGTTTCCTGTTGGTTTTCATGGATGATCCCGGGAAAACAAGCCACGGCCCGTTGACCAAGTTGCTGTAGGACCTACTGAAGGCGAGCCTCGACTTTCGTGTGGACCAAATCATCATGGGATTTATAGACTATTTATAGGGGAAACATGGTGACTTTCGTGTGGAGGAAACACGACTTTTGAATACCTGAAAAATGGTAATGTTATATATAAATGAATGGTTTAAACATGGTGAACACATCATGGTTATTAATGGTCAATATGACATATGTGACATATCCATATGTCATGATTAATCTGGTGGTATACCTACCCCTCTGAAAAATATGAGTTCGTCAGTTGGGATGATGATTCCCAATATATGGAAAAATAAAAAATGTTCCAAGCCACCAACCAGAATACCTTTGGATACCTTTTGCCGTCCTTGATCCAGGATCACCGATTGAAGTGAATTTGGAATTGAAGTGATTGAAGATACAATTCCTATTGTCAATGGTTAAATCCCAATTCTTGCTGGGGTCCTCTTTTTTGAGACCTTCCCGCTTCGCATCTGACAAACTCTGGCTGTACCAAGCAACTCTGAGCGAGAGCAGAAGGAAAACTTCTCCCAGGCATAATCTTTACCTTGGCACCTGAGTCGCCAAGAAGTTGATACTACTGAAACCAGTCGCTGATTTCTGCAGGGTCGTGGAATCCCGTTGCCACGGTGACTTGCAGACAGGCTGACAAACCAGGCTGGAACTGTGTGAAGCTCTTGAAGCTCCGGGTATCTCTCGAAAATATCTGTAACTCTATGAGCGCACGTGCACTTGAATAAAATAAGAAAACAACTCCAAAACAAGTTTTTTTAAAAATGGTTTATGATGGTTTGATAGTTAGGTACAAGCCCATTTTTTTAAATTCCCATCCTCTCCCTTTCGCTCCTAAGCCACTCATTTGGTCCCAGTGTCTGAACTGATGCCATGAAAATGACCATTTGACCTGAGACGAGGGAGAGGCGCTTCCAAACACAGGGCTTAGGCCTGGATCCTTGTCGATACGGCACAGCAAAAGTGTTCATTGTCACCAAAAAAAGCTCTTTGGTTTTGTTTTGTACTCTATCGAGAAACTATAGGGGGGTGGCCCCACGACCCCACATGGTTTAGCCCCAACGTACTGTGGAGTGGAAACCTGACAGCCAGCTCGGAGGCCCGAGAGGGCCTTGGGGCTCTTCCTTACTGGGGTCGTGACCCCTTCTCCCCCGGTCTCTAAGGGCATTCGCAGGAGGTCCTTGGGCCTCTGATCTCTGATCTTTTCAACGCTGGTCTGCCACTTGGGCCACCTACTAGCAGCTACTGCTGGCCACAAAACACTGGGCGCTGGCCACACAACCGTTGGGCGTGACAGTGGTTGTGGCAAGTGATTTGGTACCCACAACGATTCCCCACTGATTACTGGATGTGTCCAATATGATGCCCTAAAATCCAATGAACTTCATCAGTTCATTGTCATGTTCCCAGATTTGTTGGCAGTTGGGGATATACCACATGTTCAGAGAAATCCAACTGATGAAACCCAGCTGATGTTCCAAATGGTTCCAAAACAGGGTCTAAAGTCTAAAGCGACAAATCCACGGCAGATTTCTGGTGCACCCCGGCTGGCTGTTTCTTGGTTTATAACCCTCATCAACTCGGGTTATAATGATTATCTACGTATATAATTATACCGTACCCTCTGGTAAACTGTCCCATAACTATGGAGAATCACCATGCTATCAATGGGTAAATCCACTATTTCTATGGGCCATTTTCAATAGCTATGTTGACATAACCAGAGGGTACATCATAACCCCCCAAGTATACTAGTTATAAACCAACAAACAGCGAACTTCGGGGCAACACCTTATGTTATTAATGCCAGATATAGTTGTTATAAATGCAGCACGTGTTATGTTATATTTTAGCATTGTGGGCAACAAAGGCACAAGATAATCAAAACCTCTTGCAACAACACACCTCGACAATGACTTCGACATACCAAAAAAAACAAACCTCCTGTGGCCCTGTGGCTTCATGAAGTTCGCGTGCCAAGTGACACAAGATGAAGGCAAAGAGCTGGAAAAAACCAGGTAATTGCCTGCGAGTGCAACCGGCATATTGTGGAATCTCAATCGACTACGCCCTCTGAGTCTGCAACCAGGGTGCCCATGGTGCTGGCACATATCCCCGCAAAAATACCACCAAAATACCACCAAAATCCAATGTGGGGAAAACTGGACCAGTAGATAGCGTGGCTTTTGGAACCTGGTCGTCCAAAAGTTGCGGATGCTGAGACTCATTGGTTCCGGCACTGCCGATTTATCCCTTTATGTTGGTGGGTACAGTCCCTTTTCACTAGATACGTCACTATATAGACATTTCCTATTTTTGTAGGTGGTATCACAAAAAACATTGGATATATGATGCAAACATTCTACTATACGTATATCTATACTGGCACATATACACTAATATAGAAAATCATCATACATCTATCCCCACCTAGACAATGGCCAATTTGGTGCTGAACCTATGGGAATATGTCAAAAACTGGCTATCCTTAAAGTTCAATGGATCATAGTTAAAATATGTTAAAATGATCCCAATCTACCGGCAAAAACCAGATAGTTGCAGTTGAAACACCAAATGTGTTGCGCTTGTTTCCAATTCTTGGAGATGCATGATGTAACCAGTTCCAATCCTGGATCTACTACCCTTGGATCCTAAGTTGTGACCCATATCCATAAGCCATAAATAACATTAGTTCTTATATTTATGATATATCCCAAAAAATATTCCAGTTGGATATATCACAATAATGTTGCTCGGTTGAGACTCTTTTCTTTCTATTAAATACGTATAAATACGTATAAACCCAACAATTCCTGGCTTTTCTCATCTCCCTTCCTGAAACCAGAACCCACCGAAGCTGACCGCAATCAATCGCACCTGCTGAACAACAGCGAGGCCACTTGAAGCCCAAAGGTCAATGCCACAGAGCAAGCAGCCTCAGAAAGAGGGATTGAGCGGAAGTCGAAGCTGGGTGTATATGCCAACAATGGTGGTTCCAATGGACTATTCTCAATACATCATAATATATATATATATAATTATATATATGTGTGTGTGTGTGAATAAATAAATATTTGGTGCAGTGGCGCTCACTCCCCGCGTGGGGTCTCGAAGTTATTTTGGGCTGTTCCCCCCCTGTGGATGTGGCCTGTGGTGGGGTGGGAGGATTTGGGGGTGGTTGTATAGTATGGCCCGTATGGCCCAAACAAAGGCCATCACCTTCCTCATTTTTTTCGAATCCATATTTCAACTCACCCAAAAATGTACACAAAGGCCAGCCATGCACATGACAGTTTCCTCATATCTGCCCAAGGACCAATACATCTTGGGGTCACTTACTAAGTACCAAAAAAATAACGGTGCTGCTCAACCAAAATCCATGGTTTCGGTGGGGAAATCCCGTGATATGTCCAGTAAAATCATGAAATGGCAGTGTGTCAAAACCAATAGTACCCCTGTAGTTCACATCAAAATAGCTGGGATTTATGGATGTTCATCCCCCTAAAAATGGTATTAATATAGGTATTGATCCATACCCAAATATCCTACCCGTCTACCCATGCCAGAAAGTCCGTCCATGGGTCATGGAGTTTTGCAACTGCGCCAGGAAACCACCACAGCAGCAGCTTTCTTCGTCAACAGATTGCAAGGAATCACGCACATGCGCAAGAGGAAGGTATAACATGAGGATGCCTTGGTGAATGCGCAGACATTTAAACAAAAAATCGCTGCCAGTTTTTGGAATCGCCTGCAATAGTGTCCTTATGGACAAAATAGAGGGGCCGGTCTGGTATACAATCTATGATCATTCAATACTGGTTGGTGGTTTCAACCCCTCTGAAAAATATGAGTCACTTGGGATGATTATTCCCAATATATGGGAAAAAAATGTTCCAAACCACCAGCCAGTCATTCAATATCATTTACATCATTTACCTATTGAGCGTTTAATGGAGGTGACCCCACTATCATCAACCAGTGGCAAAAGGGCATCGAGTTGGTAGCCTGCCTGTCCATATTTCTGCCGTTTAGATCTTGGAAAACATGTGAGACATGTGAGACATGTCTAAAAGTGAATCAGCCCGAAAGTACTTAACGTTATTAGCCCCAGCCCACCCCAACCAACCTCACCCCCAACCCTGAAAGGGCCCTTCGGGCCCTGCGAGGCACGCGCAAACTTTGAAACATCTCGGCCACCTGTAAGCCATGGCCACAGGATAGGTGGAACATATCACCCTCTATCACTGGATTGGTTGAAGGGAAAATCTACAGGAAACCATGGTTTTCCCCGGTTTTCCTGTAACCAATCCACTGACTCTAGTAACTTAACATACTGTGGTGGACAAAATCCTGCACCAACTGGTAACTATTGCTATATAACTATGAATGACAATGAAACACTGTAAACAATTGGATTATAATTACAATGCAATGTTTACCATCTACCAACTGGTGCAGGATTTATTCCATTCACAGTAGCTATGGGAAAATGGCACATTTGGTTCGGTGATTTACTTGTTCAAAAATGATGATTTTCCATAGCAAACTGTTGAGTTGTATTAAATTACGGGAGGGTATCAAATATTTGGAGCCACAAACCTATGACTTGGTATGCCAAGATGATATACAATGACCAGTGATATCCTATTGAAGAAAAAACCTCCGCTTTTAAGGGGCGGTAAAACGCAAACTATTTCAATAAGGGGGTGTGTCACCCCCCCCTACCCTCCAGAAATATTTCTAGGCTGAATTGTGGCATCCGGAGGACCTCCCCACCCAGACCCTTTTTTGGAAGCCCAAAAACCAGGTTGGGGGTAATATTTAATTTGTGAAATATGTCTCTGAAATTTCTTGCCTAACCCCAAGTATTCCAGGGTTAAAAGGGGGGTGAATGAAGAAAATATGCGGATTATTGGTGATATTTCCATGTATCATACGATAAATATAAGGAACAGAACATTATTGTGAATAGACACGGGTATTGTTGGGAGAAATCGGGAGCTGGGGGGTGGTGCCTGGTAGACCATTTACCATATACCATTTCCCTCTGTCCGCCTGTGTCCAAAAATGGATAAAAAAACCAATGTTTGAAATTCGAATGGGGGAAAATGAGGTTCATTTTCCATGGGATTTTATGAAGTTTTCCATCGTTTTCCCCATTTTTTTAACAGACAAACCTACATCTCTGCCTGCTCTTTTTCCTTGGTATACTGCTCACTGATCACGCCAATGAAAATGTTCATCACGAAGATGGAGAAGAACAACACCCCTCGAGGCGAAACTGATTGATTCCTAGTGGTTCAGAACACAATGATATGGAATTCCAATCGTTCAATCGTTCTTTTATAATGCCCATATCATTAGGGTAGCATTCGTTGGTCATAGAGTGGGAATTATACTAGTGGTTGAACCTAAAGTTCCCATAAGCATTTATCATCGTTCATTTGTGAAATCGATCATTAAGTCTGATTATGTCTGATAATTAATGTCTGAGCCCCAGTTTCTCATCCTCATCCCTTCCTTGGTCTTCATTTTCTCGCAGCTTACATGTCCCTTCTCCCCAAGGCTTTCCCCAAGTGCTGATGCCCCCCCCAGATTAAACCCTCAAGTAATCAAACAAATTGCAATCTCGATACATCTCTATTGAATCCACAAATCCTCAGCAAATGGACGAATTTCCGAGAGTAGTCATTGTAGTCATCATAGGGAATTGAAACAACCCAAAATGCAAAAACGGATTGTGGGAAGCACTGCTAAGCAGCAAAAATCACCCAATGATGTTGGGGGTTTCATCCGGCACCCAGCCGCCCTGAAGACCGTCCGTCTCCTGCATACAGCAAGGACAACTGCAACATATCTCTTGGAGGTTCTTTTGGTAATCCCTGGGCCAGGTGGAAGCTCGGAAACGTCGGAAACCTTAGCCAATTGGAGCTGCTACGCCAAAAATGCTCATATCATTTAGTGATTTTAGTGGGGAATACCGGAATACCTATGATTCAGCAGGGATTTGGGGGAAACAAACATAAAAATGGACAACTCCAATCTGGATATTCACCGTAAAATCAGATGTTTATATATGTTTTCAGCAGGTTTCACTTCAAAATCCTATGGTTTCAACCCATCCCCAGCCCTTCGCCATCGCCATCGCCTGCGTGATCAGGGTATCAAAGGTGTGGAAGACGCTCTGGGGCCACAAATGTTCAGGTTTCCTCGACCGGCTTTGGTCTGGTCATTTCCATGTCGACCCATGGAGTTCGATGATTTACCAGTTTCCAGTCGGTGATTTTTTGATGCAAACTGGAAGACCAACGATGAGAAAGCTACGTGTTAGATGTGGATTTACAAAAAAAACATCAATGGAAGACCAGCATCTTCGGATCCAGTGGTTTCCCTCAAAAGCTGTGGGAAATCCACCTGTGGCAAATCCCACGAAATCAGCCGCTTGCAGCAGCTGTCGTGAGCATCCCGGATGGTTAAAAGGACTAAAAATCGTTCAACAAAAACATGGAAACATGGCGCCATTTTGGTGTGTCTCAACATGGACACGAAAATGAAGCGACCAGCCAGAAATCTGGGTGTCATAGCTACCAGGTGGTTCCCCACAGCAGATGAAATTCTCTGGTTATCCAGTCTATCTAACCAATTTAATCTATCAAATCTATCAAATCTATCAAATCTATTCTATCCTATCCTATCCTATCCTATCCTATTTATCGATCTATCCATCTATCTATGTAAAACACAACTGCTTTCACCCTTCAGCACCCTTCAGCACCGTTCTATTTCCAGCTCCAAGAGGCAGTTGCACGGTATACATGGCGTGGCTCAAGGTACAAAAACCAACCAAGGTGAAGGTCATGGCCTTGGGATCCAGGTTGGGATCCAGGAGACCCGGAGAGGTCAACATACAAAAAGCTATTGAAAATGGACATAGATGACATAGAAATGGTTGATCTACCTAGTAATAGCATGGTGACTTTCAATTGTTATGTAAAGGTTTACCAGGGGGTAAACCATTCATGTAATCATATGGAGGTGTCCGTTTAGTCATGGGGGGTACCCCCAGTTCTCATCCAAGTCATGGATGACCATGACTTAGTATTGAAATACATGGTCTTGGGGATCCCCCATGTTGAGAAACCCACATAACATATGTATATATATAATTATATATATACATATTATATGTGATTATATGGTATACATTTAAGTCTAGATATACCATCACATTGCTGGGATCATTCTGAAACTGGAATATTTTGCGACTGGGCTGTGAGATGGTAGTGGGGAAACCAATAAAGCAGAGCATTGGCTGTGCAGAGAATAGGGCTGATGTTCACTGTGAGACTAATGTGAGCAAAGCAATCATAAACGATTCATATTCTGATGGTAAACATAGCATCTATTTATGGTAAATTTGGAGATGGTCGATCCTCTTGCTTATCGACATTTTTTAGGGATTTTACTGCCGTAAAGAATCCAAAAGCACCTGGGATTTTCCACCCAAAAAGAGAACCCCACGAGTTGATCAGATTTTGATGTGTCTTTTGTTTATCTCACTCGAAAATCGGATGCTAAATCTAATTTGTATCATTTTCCCGAATCAAATGGCGCCATTTTCAGACACTGACCTTACTCCGGTCCTTTTTCGGCATTGTTTCACTTCTCACTTTTCGGCAACTCATCCCTTGAAGACAAAGAGGGTGTCGCAGGAAGCCTCAGCTGCCACACCCCGGTGGCCATACAGACCTGATGCTACTGAGGGTCAGACTCGCCCGCTTCCCAAGGTATGCATTTTTTTCATAATTGTCCATTTATGTATACATGTATATATATATATATATATGCATACTGTACATATATATACCACTATATATACATATATATATATAATTATAGATGCAGTATATTTTATTATATACATATATTTATTATATACATAAGTTTTATTATACAATTATATTTATTATCCATATATATACACATATATATATGTATATTTTATATGTATGTATATTTATAATATTGTGTGGGTGTGTCTGAAAATGGCTGGTTAATAGACTTGGGGGTATCACGTTGTCAAACAAAGCCATGTAATGCATGTTACAGTACTATAATGCATGCTACAGTACTATCACTTCGACGGGCGCTTTTGGCTTGGAACAGCAATTGATTGGTTATGCAGAGTCATGCATTTCACATTGCCTATCAGCTTGCAGATCAGTCCCAACTACACCCTCCATGGATTGTATCCAACAGAACTGCAAACTAGGCCCGGCTCGTTTGCAAGCCGTCCATCTTTGGTCCACCCAAAAGAAGACGAAGTCTTCATAGAATCTTTGACCCACTACAAAAGTTTGGATCTACTTTTCTAGAATGGAACCATATCATCTTTTAATCATATGAACCTGGTTCAAGAAAAACATCTGTTGATCAGCACTTGGCCTACATGATCCTTATCAACTGGGGACCAAGCAATCATGCAAAAATATGCAAAAACAGCTTCATTTCATTTCACTTCAGTGAGACTAGGCATATTACCCAAGCAATCTTGGTATCATCCCTATTATTTCATCCCAATGCCGATCAGCTGTAGTAAGTCCGGGTTGAAGCCCCACACCCAAAAGGTCGGGGGGAAGATATTTGATATTTGTGTGACTCTGAAAAGGAGGAAGCATAAGAAATCGGAAAACTTTAAGTTTAAACTTGTCTAAACCATGTTTAAACATATCTAAACCATGTTTAAACAATGTTAAAACCATGGATTGTCGAGTTCGTGGCGATTTTCCGACCATCCATGGGAAATCCCAGCAGCAGCTGCCACCATGTTCCCAGCCAAGGCGGGAGTGGCGGTGCCCGAAAAGGCCCCGTGGGTGTCGAAGTAGGAGACCTCGATGGTGCCATGGCGTCAGATTGGAGTGATTTTTTACCAAATGTAAGGACTTGTTCCAGCAACAAAGAAGGGAAAATGATGGAAAATGGGTTCACCATTGGGTAAGATTGATCAACAAGATCATGCAATTTACGAACAAACAAGGTGAGGAATTGGAGTGGTTCGTATAATTCTCCAGCAAGAAAAGGGTGTGTTTTCACCATCGCAAAACAGATGATGACTTTTTTCCAGCAACAAAATGGGGGGACATGAATTTACAATAATTTTAGAAGTTTGGCAAGAACATTGGGATTTATATAACTACCAAACCAGTGTGATAGCGGTATGACTGTCGTGATGACTGGGATTAGTTCCCCTGACCCAATTGCGTGGAAAAAGGTTCTTGACTGGGGGAATCTTTATCAAATTCATGATCCACAGTGATGAAGAGACCGGGAAGATTTTAAGATGTTCACTTTATCAGACACTGAAATCTACGGTGGGGGTACTTGAAGTGAACATGACCATTGGCAAATTGGTGGTGGCCTTTTCAGCTCCCGGATGCACGGGATTCTGCGACAAAGTACTGTCTTTAACTGGACTGAAGGGCTTCCAACTAGCCCAAACAGTCTCTGTGGATCTTCGGATGAAATAAATCTATGAGCTGCCTGTAGTACTTGGGATGTTTATCCTCAAGTCCGCCAGTGACAACACCTTTTTTTTGGGCAACTGATCAATCACCCTGGACCCTGAACTCTTTGCCGTTGAGGGTGGTCTCTTAGCAGACCTATCAAATCACTTTGGTTTGATCAATCTTTATTTTGGCGATCTGCCACATTTCTTCGTAAAAAAATGCCCTATTTTGCTTGGTCTGCCCACTCTCCCTCTGTTGGGTTTTCTGCCTCAGTATTCTTTTTGGGTGTACCTCACAGGAGGTTCACCATGGAAGCCTTAATCAACTGCTAGTGGTTGGTGGCCTTTGGGTGACTGGTGTACCATGAAAATATCATGGAAAACATGCCATCCTATTATAGTAAAGTTGGTAATAGCCCCATAAATCAATCAAGCAGTGGGAAAAGGACATCTGTGATTCTATGTTTTTCTGCACATCATGGAAATCATCATCTCGTTGTTGCTTCGATCATGTTGATCACTGTATATGACTGTATGATGTCAATATGCCATTCCGTTTTTGTGCACAAAACATCACAATGGTGTCCCATGTTCACACCTTGAAGCAACCAAGAATCACCATGTCCTGCCGTAGAATCAGCATTTCATCATATTTCTGGGTAAATTATAATAATTCACTAATCTGAAATAAGGCTATTTGGGGATGATTCCCCTTACTAACCTTGATTTCCAGTGAGGGAGAACAGTGAGGTCGTTATAAAATCCCATAAAATCACTATAAATGTAGGTTCCCATAAATCATAGGAAAATAACATTTAATCTAATCACTATTTCCCTCATATTTCATCCCATAAAATCACCAGTTCCTCTCGCTGAAACCGTGGCCCCTAAGCAGTGCCAGTGACCCCGCGGCCTCGTTGTCTCCGAAGACTCGCCCGTCGCCATCAAGGTCTCTCAAAGCATAGAGGTTTCCCATCTCGTTGCCCACAAAGACCTGATCACAAAGCCCAAAGATTTTCAGATTTTATGGCAATTTTATGCTTTGATATGGTTTTTACACCGGTTTTTTATATTGTTTTATAGGGTAGTAGTAATTGGGATTTATGGTTTGATATGGTGTTTACACCGGTTTTTTATATGGAAACATGGATCAATACCTATGAAAATAGCATTTTGGGGGGAATGAACATCCATAAATCCCAGCTATTTTGATGTGAACTACAGGGGTACAAGGTTTTGACACACTGCCATATGGTTTTATAGGGTAGTAGTAATTGGGATTAAAAAAAAAGGGATCTAATGGGACTATACCATCCAAAATAGGGATATTTGCCCTCCAAAAATCACACGTGGCTATCTGGGAAATCCACTGTCAATGGATGCTTAAAGCTCGGAAAATCATAGGAAAATAAGGGAAAATGCACTATAAATGTAGGTTTACAGGGTTTTTTTCAATGAACATCATCAAATGGTGGATTTTCCCAATACTAAACCATCTCCAATTGAGAATGTTTTATTGGCTCTTCGGTCATTAAAATTGGTTCATGGGACTGGGGGATATGACCGGGATATGACCGGGATATTTGGGGGAAAAGATGACAATTTGGGGGGATTATGTCTTGTCTATCCGATAGGTCATTGATGGGTTTCCCATGGTTTCCAAAAAACATGCATGGGAAGAAAACCTAGATTTTTCAAGTGGTAAACCTAATGCCATTGGCACCATCCCATTCACCAACCATGACTGGGGGCCATAATTAATCTAGACCCATATAAATCATCCCAAAATAGAGGTATATAGTGGTATATACAATACCTTATATATGCCATAATGAGAACTCACTTGGGGATGGCTCATATCACCGGGTTTACCACATCAAAAATGGGGGAACGTCACCAATGATGGGAACATAAGGATCAACTCGTGGGTAAAACCAATGGTCAAACCTCCCAAGCTCCGCCACCCTCAACGCCAAGCCGCAGTTCCATCTCCAGAGATCGTTGGAGCACTCCAGCCGTTGGGGAGGCACATGGGCCGCAAACCGGACTTCCTGGCGCCGGTGATGACGAAAAAGGTCAGCCGTGTTGAGAATGTCATGAAGATGGGATTCAATGATGAAAAAGAGCCTTGCACCCAAAAAAAACAGAAACAGCTGCCAGAGTTAGATTCCTATGATAGTAAAGAATCCATAACGAATGGTTGGTTGGGGAAACCAACTTTTATTTGTGGTTATTTGGAGTTCCAGGAGTAAAGCTGGGCAGAGACACCAGAATCCAGCACCCAAGGCTTCTCAGTTTCCACGTCGAGGGGCAATCGGTCGCCCACACCTTCAGCGTCGCCTGCTTGAAAATTTCCTGCATGGGCTTGAACGGCCACTGTAAAAGCAAGCCAGCAAGAATAGGGATAGCCTTCGGTAAACATTTCATGGCAATGGGAAATACGGAAATACATGGAAATACCCTATGTAAACGGAGGTCTGAATGGGAGAATCATCTATAAATCGAGATTTTCCATTGCCACGTTTGATTCCCAGAGGGTGTAACCAGCAGTAATGGGAAAGGATGATCTTGGACGGAGCTCACTGCCTGAATGTACTTTAAGCGACATGACCCGCTAAACCCCACACTAGGTGCCACTTACAATCATTATCAAACCAGCATGACCAGGAAGAATGGCGGACAGTTCTTTTCCACCCTAATTTTTGCGGGACCCCCAGAAACCCTGGTCCGGAAGGCACAAACGTGCACAAACCGCAGTCCTGTTTGTTTAGGTCCATGGAAGACCCAACGCAATCCTCCTGTGTTGGCATCGTAAGCATGGACATCGCAGCTGGCTCCTGTTGCTGGCGTATTTGAAGGCTTTCGAGCAAATGAGCAGTGGCTGCTAAACCCTGTGTTGTCCCTTTATACCGGTTGGTTGATAGGAATTCCTCCTTCATGGATTGTGATAATCTGGAATATATTGGTTGGTAGAATCCCCAAACTAATCATCAACCAACCTCCGGTCTCGAAGACTACCCAAATGATGTTTGAAAAATATGCCACAGTGTATCAGACTCCTTGTTTGCCAGCACGCTTAACATATTTCACCGATTGTGCGGTTTCAAAGGCATTGAACATCTGCAGACATCCAGATATTGTACTCAACATTTTTCTGCAAGCTACACCTCTGATAGGCAACCCAAGGTCCAGGCTGTCTACCTGGCTAAGCTTCTGTGCACAAGTCAAACCCCAACATCACAAAATGCTGCCTGATTAGACTATGTGGCTTTGTCCAAAAACATGGAGGATTCTCCAAAGTATGGCAAGTTTACTGTGGAATTGATGATAAACATAACTGTGGCATTTCTGTGTTTCCAATTATATCACCAGAAAATGGTCGATAGACACCCCTACTTTCGCTAGTGAAAACACCTTTTTGTGGCACCCACCATTGACCATTTGGGGCTAATGTTGAAAACAAGTTCTGCTCAGGGATTTCAACTCATCCCAAAATATCTCATCCGCATCCATTGATCGCCATCCCAATTCGGTGAACTTTAAACTTACCCCCCCCCCCCTATATACTGGTTGGTGGTTTTAACCATCTTGAAACATATTAGTCAATGGGAAGGATTAACCCATATATTATGGAAAATGAAAGCCATGTTCCAAACCACCAACCAGTATAAGAACTCCTCCTGATTCAACAACTCAGTTGGTCAAATATCCATGAAATACATCCCTCAAAGATCTTAACATATCATGTGGGTAAAACAATGTCATGTTTACCACCCATGACTGGGAATGGTAAACATACCACCTATTTATGGTGATTTGGTTTGGGAGATGGCTTATGGCATTGTTTTACCCTTTTACAGTCAGAACAGTGGTTCATTTATATTGTTTTTACAAAATCCATTGCTATAAATGGTGATTATATCATCGTGGTTTATATCACCTATTTATGGTGTTTTACCAACATTATCCCATGATGTCTTCCATGATGTACAGTAGCACCACCCAAAGGTCGATGCCAAACACGGCCAAAGACATCGACCTACACGGGGGTTACGATATAAAGGCTTAGCAACACCAAATGACGATATATAGTCAATAGATATATACATATGTATATAATGCATAGCTACATATATAGATATATATGTATTATATTATTCATTATTATTTATTATTATTATTCATTATTATTTGTTGTTATTATTATTAAGTTTGTTGCCATGTTGTTCCAGGACATGGCCTGGCCAGCCCTGATGACACAGGGGCAGGATCAGCGACATGCTGGGCCAACCAGCCACTTTGCCTAGCCATGGAGCACCATGGAGCCATGGAGGGAGCCACAGAACTATGGGAAAACCACCATGGTTTTAATGGGTAAATCAACTATAAAATGGTGTTTTTTTCATGGGAAAATCATTGTTATAACAAACATCTGGTTATTTAACATAGCCATAGCCATATATATGTTTATGGGTAAATCAACCAACTCAAAATATTAACCATCTAAGTAAAAACATATGAAAACCACATTACCCTCTGGTAAACGTACAAAAAACTATGGAAAACCACCATGTTCAATGAAATCAGATGGGGTTCACCACGATTTCCCTATTGAAAGAACCATTTTTAATGGGGCTACCCGGCCTGGTAAACGTACAAAAAACGTATGGAAAATCACCATGCTTTTAATGGGTATTTAATGGGTAAATCAACTATTTCTATGACCATTTTGCAGAGGGTATCTGGTTGGTGGTGCAATGTGCCCATCTTGAAAAATGATGGAGTTCGTCAATGGGATGGATGACACTTTTTCACTTTCGCGGTACTGTGCAATTTGCACTTGGTCATGCGAAACGATGCTGAAACGGTCACGTCTGCCCTGTACTAGCCGTGATAATCCGGTTGGATTTCGTCATCGGCTGCAAAACTGGCAGAGGCAAACCGCTGGAAAAACTCCGGCAAAACTGCAGCTACGGAGTGGGTTTCTCCTGGTGGAAACGTCCTCTCAACGTAACGTGCTACAGCCTGCCCGAGTGCCCAATTCATACGGGGCGGGTAAACCTTGGCCCTTGCAGTGCGGAACATGCCGGACGCATCTTTTCCGATCAAAGGCTCGTGTGCATTCCTTCCATGTGCACAGCGACCGCCCCGGCCAGCCCGAAGCACCTCTGAACGGAAGTCCCAGAGTCGGACAAGAATCAACGTGGTGGGTTTCCTAATGGGTGCTTGCAGCACGCATTGATCAAACGACACCGCGGATACGCACTGTAGTTGACGCAGCTTCTTGATAGGGGCCAAAGTCCAAATGCTGCAAGGTGCTTTATCAGCGCACCAAACTGGGTACTGCGGATGTTCGCAGAACCCGCACCCTCCCGTGCGGGCTAGCAAGTACAGGATATCAACGATAAACTGCACAAGACGTGTTCCAATGAGCACTTGTCTCCATTCTCGAGCAGTGAGATATGGGAGGCCAGTGAGATCCTCTTCAGAACGTACCTGGCGGGGTCCTTGACCAAACATGCGAGCAATAGTGAACGTCTCGCACGGGGGACCGCCGCCAGCACCAAAAACTCGTCCACAGAGCACTTGGTTGCGCCAGAAAGCAAGCGAAGCATCCGATGCTAAATCTCCGGCGACCTTCTGAAGACACATGTCGACTGACAACGCAAAAATTTGCAAACCATCTGGCAAAACCTGATGGGAAAGAATCTCATGCAAATCATGGCTCCTGCGAAACCCACTAAAGAAATGCACGAAAACCATCGTACGCAGGTTCATCCTCATACTCAAGGCCGGCAAACCCTCACGAAGAAAGAGGCCGGCTCCATCCAAGGTGCCCTGCTCTGATTGGAACACGAAACCAGGCACAGGATGATGCTGAGGTATCAGGTGATCAGGGGCCGCAACGTCGACTTCAATCTTCCTGCCTTGCAAGTGGGTAAAGGCTTGCCCGGGTGTATGAGACCTGGCCGTCCAGCGTGCAAGCATGGCGCGTGCGTCCTCCCCATGGGCTGGTGGAAGGAGAGGCCCAGCAACGCGACAAGCCGGTAACAGCGCTTTGGTGCGCCACCACCCCTGCTTTTTGAGCTCAGCTGTGACACCATCATCAAACCGATCAAGAGCCTCAACCTGGTCATCAGACATAGGAGGGAAACATGCTTGCAAAACGTCCATGCAGGCCGTACTATGAGTCAAATGTTGACATAGGCGCATGCGACAATGGTGCAGCTTGCAACAGGCCGGGCATGTGTCGCCGGCTGCAAAAAACCTCACTAATCTCCGATAGCCATGCACACGTTGGGAGTGTGTAGCTAATGCTTTCTTGGAGGCAAACCACTTGTCACATTGGTCACATTGCCATCTGATGGCATCAGCGTCTGCAACGGGCTCTGGGATGCCAGCATCATGATGGAAATTACGATCAAACGCTTTTTGCCATACAGCATGCTCAGCACGGGCTTGGCGGTACCTACAACACTTCTGAAGGGCAGACTTGATCTTGCCTTTCCATGCATAGTCTGTCCGTACTGCCAAGACCCACTGATCCAACGGGGCCTCCGGTGTGAGTTGCCAGTTTGGACCATAAAACTTGCAAAACCAAGCAAAGGACTCTAGGAGCAGGGCCCCCCAAGTGCCAGAGACATGTCTTGAATGCCAGACGAGAGACCACAACGATCCTGGGCATTGCTTAATAAGCCGGGCAAAATAACGGAGTCTAGCGGCATGAAGACGATCCTGAGGAGTTTCCAAACCAACAAGGCCTCCAAGGGTGGCGACGTCAAACAAACGCGGGGGGAAGCCTTTGGTCAATGTCTTGGCAAGAGAACACAACGGCTGGCGGATGGAATTGGCCCACTTGTCCAGCTCAGCGGGTTTGACGGCACTCCAAGTATGCACGTTAAACATATGACGAGACAAGGCAAGGGATCGGAAGACTTTTGATTTCGTGGCAGTGGAGATGTAACTTTTCGCAAAGAACTGCCGGGACAGGGAGCCCCAGGCAGCCTTGGCGCCACGCGCACGTGTTTGAATCTCCTTAAGCAAACAACCCCCACTCTGAAGCCAAGTCCCGAGATGCTTGTAGGACTGCACTACCCGTAAAGCAAAGTCGACCCCAAACGAAGACCACTGGATAAGCTGGCCCTCGGCCATGAGCCGCTGCTTAACCTGTTTGGAACCACGTCCTTGAACATGCCACAGCATCTCAGTTTTCCCAGCATCGTAGTTCAGGTGCAGGCCACGGCGGCGCGCGGCAACATGCATGGCAGAAACAACTTGCTGAGCCACAACCTGCAACTGATGCAAATCTTCAGCATGAATGGCGACAGCACAGTCGTCAACGAAGGAAACATCAGCGAAACCTTGCGCCGGCAGATCGGGAGGCACAGAAAAATCCGTGCACTGAGAAGGATCACCAAACCATTGAGCCACCTCCGATTCAAGAACGATTTCCTTCATCTCAGCAAGGATCCTACTCATGGTGAGGTTGAAAAGCAAATCGCCGATGGGGTCACCAGGTCTAGTCCCTTTGTGCGTGGCAACCGGCGTGTCAATACCTTCGACAGTGAAGAAAGTGCCTGTCATGGTGTCATGAATCAAGCGTTCCACATGCGGAGACACACCTTCGACTGCATTGTCATGAGCAACTGCATGCAAAAGATCAGCAATATCTGCGTCAGCAAGTCCAAGCTGCCGCATAGCAAACTGAAATGCGTTAGAACAGTCAGAACAAGACGTAAGTGCTTGATGCAAAACAGAATAGAAGGCAGCTTTCATGTCAAAGAAGACGATAGCGGCTGGTTTTTTGACTTGACGTGCCCAACATTGATGCATCTGCAAAAAGTGATGGGGCAAATCCACTCCGCATCCTGCTCGGCCACCGAATTGCATTGAATGGAGCCCTTCATGCCAAACACGCTCAAGGGGACGCCGAAGGCAGGCGTGGTAAACCTTTGCAGTAAAGTCTGAGATGAAGATGCTTCGGAACGAAGCAGGATCATGTGGACTTCCCTTACCTTTATACAAAGGAATTAATTTCCCCCCACGCCAAGACGTTGGCTCATGAGCATGCGCGATTACCTTATTAGTTAAGCAGGAGATCTGCATTGCAAATGCGGAGCCACCTGCTTTGAGGAGGTCAGGTGGCATCTCATTTGGCCCACAGGCTTTTCCACGTCTCAGTTTGCGAATGGCCTGTAACAACTGCCACGGAGAAACAAAAGCTTGTGGGTCGATGTCACTATCGACAGTGGACAAACCAGGCCTGCAGAGCGCATAAAGAGAAGACCAACTCAGAGGGATGCCAGCTTCGATTTCAGCAAACTGCTTGAGCCAGACCTGCTGTTGTTGGTGAAAGGACTGAACAACCGACCCATCAGGCGCACGAAGCATCGGCAGAGGACGAGGACCCCCCTGCTTGGCCTTCCTGCGTCCAAGGCGATCAAGGATACGATAGAGTTGCTTGGCGTCAGCTGCTTGATCGGCATGCTGCAGGCGGACCAGCAGCTGGTCATAAAAGTTTTGCAAGTCTCGATAGACCGCTGCTCGAACAACCTTTTCAACTTGCCGTAATTGAGTCTTAAACTCGGGATCAGTCATGAGGTTCCATGCACGACCAACGTCCAGCAGATGCCGCTTGAACGAAATCATTTCGACAGTAGCTGGTGTAAGCTGAGGCCGAGTGCGAGCCTTCGACTTGCGACCAAAAAACTGCTGACCTAACTGGACGACCTGATCTTCATACAACCTACAATGATCTGTGGTACGGACGTCCCATGTAGGCAACGGCAGGGTACGGAGCGCAGCTTGGAACTTGGCAACCTGAAGAGGATCAAGGAAGGCCAACTCATCCCAAACAATCCGGCGCTTTTTGGACGCAGGCGGCAAAAAGGCTGCAAACTGAAGGCCGGTTGGAATGTGATCTTCATGACAAAACGAGCCATCATAAGAGGTCATGGTGAAAGACTCTTGCACGCACGACAACTGTGAGACGGGAACTAACACATAATCGCGACGGCAGCGGCTCCCCGAGGAGTGTGTCCATGTCCAAGATTCACCAGCATGAATATCAGGGAAGGTAGCCGGCACGGCAAACTCATGACGCAGCAAAAAATCCTCGAACAAGGCACCCTGCGGGTTCGAAGATTCAGCATGGGCTAACGCAAAACAAGGCGTTTCATGGGAGGCCAAGGGCGCGTTAGCATCAATGCAAATCCAATGATAAGTGGCAGGCGCACACTTGTCTACAATGTCGGAAGTCTCATTCCACCAAGCTGCAATGTCATCCAATGGGCGATGACCATGGCCTTTGGTTTTCCCAAGGCATGGCGCATGCAAAACGGTGACAAGGAAAGAGCAGGCCGAGTGTTCAGCTCGAAGAAACAATCTCCTAGGATCGGCGTGAACAATGGCAAACTTGAAGTCAGGCGCACAAAGGGACGCACCATCGGGCAAGGTCACAAGGGGCAGGAAGCGATGCAACCAGATCTCGCAACCGAACCTGGGGGCAGCCGGGTTCTCAAGTCCGGAAGCAAAAATCAAAAAATGATCCGTCAAGTGCTTGCCTGGAAGTGTACGAGCTTCTTGCAAACCAAGGATGTGAACCTGCGCTTGGTGCCAGAGTAAATCCAACCTAGCAGTTCTTTGTCCTCGTTGACGACCCTGTTGCAGCTGTTCATTCAAGGAGTCAAGGGCAAGGACGTTGAGAGAAACAACTTTGACCCGGCACTTAGAAGGTTCACTGGTTGGTATGGAGGTACTGTGAACACTTGGCACACGCCGGAGAGACAACGGAAACTGGCAAACCTGCTGGTCAATAATTGGCGGCAAGGAGTGATGCAAAGACTCAGGGGCTCCTTGTACCCAGGACCAACCTAAGTCAGCACCAGCGCTGACAAGCTGATGGAGGACATGGAAGGTATGCATTTCAGGCGGTTCATGAGACAGCGTCCACCTAGCAATAGCGTCGGCCAAGTCATTCCAAGGGTGTGCTGAATGGCCGCGTACTTCACACACAGAAGCATCGGGGGGTAGCCAGGTCGCAAGGACGGAAATGAGCTGCGCAAGCCTCGAGTTGGATGCCGTAACACATTGGTGGGCTGCGAGCAAAGCGCTGAGCTGCAAGTCCGGTCGGACTACTGAACGCACAGGGACCATACGACAGACCAGATCCAAAGCAATTGCAAAAGCAGAAAGCTCGGCTGCAATGTTGTCAACAGTCTGTGCTCCGATCCAATCCTCTTGGTGAGATGAAAGCTGAACACTACCACACAAAGAGCCAACAAAGTGAGAAGCAACGCCGTCAGTGCGCACAACCACAATGGCCCAGGCCGCAGCAGTGGCGCTAGTGGAGCCATCAACGTATAACTCTGCCCAAGAAGGTATAGTTGGGTCTAAAGGGGTGTCATCAACCAAAGCCCAATAGGTAGCAGGCGGTATGATCATTCCTTCCGGAAGAGGCAACAACCTTGGCAAAGGCTGTTCAAACAGGCAGTGTCTCCAGTTAGTCTGTTCGAAGATGGACATGGCCGGCAGTGCATCATCAAATTGGGGGCCAGATTGAGCAGTTTGGGACACCGGCAGAACTGCTTGTAACGACAACGTCACCGGAGAACCAGAACGATCGACAGCATCACGAGTCGAAATGGGGATTGCAGTTTGCAACAATTGGGCGAAATGGCGATCATCAAGGCCAACCCAGGGGTCATGACAAACACGCGGGATTACCTCAAAGCACTCCCCATGTGAAATGCCTGGGGGTCCAAGATGAGTAAACGGTGCACCACCCCAGAAAAACTCATACAGGCTTTCCGAGACTTCAGAATCCGCTGAGAGCTGCCCTTGCAGTGCAAAAACCAAATGCGCCGGGGAAATGGGCATAGCAACAAGCGCGACCGCAAGATTGGGCACGGATGCGATGTCAGATGAATCATGAACCGCCAATATGACAGAAGCTAACTCAGGCAAAGCGTGCTGTACGACAATTAAATGCGCATCAACAATTGGCCCAAGGTGTGCATACTGCGACTTGACAAGCACAATCTGAACGTCAGCGGCCCGGTCAAGCAAGTGAATCCATGGACGCAAAAAGACACTTATTCTCCGAGCTTCATGGACAGGCACGGACAACTGAACAGGCTCAGGGTTGGCTTGCGATCTCAAATGGTCGGAAAACCAAACTTGCAGTTTGAGCGGCCTGCTAGGGTCGACAGAGCCACGGTGACAAAGCCAATCATTCCAAGCGGGGTCAACAGTAACCTGAAAGGCCTCATCAAGTGCAGGAAAGACGTCCTGCTGGGCAAAGTCCTGACCTCCAGACAAGGACGAAGTGTCAACCTGGGAACGCACTACAACCGGCACAGCAGCAGGACAGAACCACTCGATGAGTTGCTGGCATTCCTGCTCAACATGCGAGATATCCTCCAGAACACTTGCAATGTCAGATTTCCAAGTAGGCGATGATGCTTCCGCATGATGGACCGCATGAACAAGGCCTGTAATCATGGACGCAAGACTATCAAACAACCAACGCAAATGACCCTCATGTGAAGATCCACTGCTGGAGTGAATAGCAGGCGCAATGGCAGAATCGGCAGTGCACAAAAACCCATCACCGGACTGGGCATCTCGCAATACATCCTGGAGAACTTCCTGAGCCCCATAGAGAGCCACACAAGTATTAAACGGCAGGAACGGTGGGCAATATGGGAAGAGGCCACTTTCATGAATCAGCAGCCCTTTATCGACAACCGCGGGCAATTTCAAGGCCACACGGGGGGGTCCCAAGGATCATCACCAGGGGCAAGGGTGGTAATCAAAGCCGAAACAAATCCTCTTTGCTGATGCTGGGCCAGGATGATGTGGGCCAACGTATCAGAAGGACCACCAAACGGCTGCGGGTCAACAACATAGATGAAAACCTCGGCTGTAGGATCAATAAGATCACGCCACTTCTCAATCAGAGCAGCTCTCCAGGCGTCTTGATCAGGCGGCAGTTGAACCTCTCTTCCACGGTTGGTGCGTGGAAAACGTTCGTGGTCACAAAACCAAGTTTCGACATAAAATCGGTATGGACGCTGAATAGCCGTCATCAGATAACGTTCCCAAATAACCCTAAGGTCGGGAATGAGCCTAGAGGGCGCATGCTCAAGAGGAACATCAGGCTCTTGCTCAGCCCAGCATGCATTAGGAAACAGAGAAGCATCCTCTGGCCGAAATGAAATCCTCGGAGGAATCTGGGATGAGGATGCAGTATCTGGAATGGGAAAGCCATCGTCATCAACTTGTGCAAACCGATTTCGAAAAGGTGCAACCGTGATGGAAATACCGAGGCCTTGCGAGACAGGCTCCAAACGGCTTCTGTGAAATTGAAGCCGACCTGCCCATGCACTGCATCGCCTTTGATTGCATAATGCATCAATGCCGAGGATACGCAAAATGACATCACGCGACAATTGAGGCGGAATGGATTGCGCTCTGCGATGCGTGATGTCACCATGAATGCCATGAAATAACACTGAAAACAAAGCAACTTGGCGTGCAATCTGAATACCTTGCTCAAGAATCACATGTAGTGGCTGCTGCCCAGGTATTTGGGATGCAGGATTGGGACGCACAATGTGAAAGGCAAGGTTCAAAAACGGCTGCATCATGGGGAGCCAAGGCGTGCACAACTGCTGGAGCCAGTCAAAAGGACGATGCGAAAGTCGCACCAACCGACCTACCAGGCATGAAGGTGACCTATCATGGTGCACAAACCAAGTAATGACATGCAAAACCGGGCCCTCCTCAGGGAGATCCGTGTGGCTATGCTCATCGAACAAAAGCCGCAATTGCAGTTCAAATTGTTGCCACTGTGGAGCATTCGGAAATACAGGTGGCGCCTGAGCGGGAACCGAAACAAGAAACTCTGGAGGATCAGTCTGATGTTGATCTTCAAGATGACTTGTCAGGGGTCCACTTTGTCCCGCAGCCAAAGCATCACTGAAACACTGAGGCGGCGGAGGCATGTCACTGTCTTCAGCACGCATGTTGGAATCAGTATGGGTTGGCAGGGATGGGTAAACCTGGGCAAAAGTTGGTGACTGAGCACACATGACATCTTCAACTAAGGAGACAGTGCGACACGTCTCAGCTCCTGCAATGCTGGGTGGCGGAATGTGCAGGCGACCGTATGTACCATGAGAAAGCAAGCGTACTACGAGATCTTGCAAGTGCCACACAAGATGATCAATCAAGACCACGCAAGCCTGATGCCGAAACTCGCAGTACTGCGCCACCCTCGCAAGCTCAAGCAACCCGGCTCTCGAGACTGCAGATGGCACTTTAATGACCCGTCGATCGAATGCGGCGGGCACATGTGGATGCGTGGCCGGTCCCTGCTGATGAAAAACAACATCCAAAAGCACAAGCTGGTCGGCAGAACCGGGAGGAATATCCCCTTGATGCTGAATTATAAAAGAAGTCTCATGCTGCAGCTCACCTACAGGCTTGGCATGAATTCGATGAATGGCAACAAGTTCACTGGGCTGCAATGCCGTAATTTCCAAAATGTCTTGCACTAACGTGGAAAAACGAGCAAGTCGAACCCAGGCGGAGATTGGATCTTGGCCGAGCCGATAGACGGTGATACGTCGCGTCGGCTCCCGTACATCAGGCGCAGGATCACTCGGCAAGCTCTGCATGTCAAGTAACCGGGCCGGAGCAGAATCAACCAACATTTGATCTTCGGACTGCTCAGGCTCAGGCGCTGGATCGAGAACCTCGGTGTGTAGGGTGTCACCTTCAGGCACTGCGTCATCAGTAAGACTGACATAGACTACAAAACCTGCACCTGGCTGTACAACGAAGTTCCTCGCAAAGTCAATGGGAAGATGAAACTGGTCCTGAAAAATCAAGCAGGCATGCACATTGCAAACATCTTGAATCCCTGCATCAGTGACAAGGTCCTGCCCACTGATAGTGGGTGCAAGGGACACAGCAACTGCATACATGGACACGTCGTGGCGGACAAACGTAGGCGACACGGTGACCAGACCAGACCGACGGCCAGCTTCAACACCCTGAGCCAGGACAATATCAAATACAATTGCAGTCTCGTGCCAATTACGTGGTGGAGTAGGTTGAACCAAATCAATGGAAATTTCATCCTGGGGTATGTTGTCCTGAAACCAAACCCTGAGAAGTTGCGCTCTCCAAAGATGAGGCGGCCCACGCAGCAATGCCTGTCTAGGGTTCATCGATCTGCGAAAGGTGACATGATTCAATAGCCACGATCGAACGAGGACACCACGTACAATACGCGCGGGATTGACCTGAAATTCCACAGGCAAGGCACGAAGAATGGCAAGAGCGAAAGGCGGGACCGACAACGGAGCCGCTGGAATAGGTGCTGCATTGTCCGTAGATTGTACATCCTCCCTAGTAGAAGGGGGTCCAGCAGAACTACTAGAGCCAGCTGAAGTCGGATGTTGGAGTGGTACACCTCCTAGACAAGTCCTACCTACACTAAAGGTCAGATGGGGCAAGTCAAAACACTGAAACTCTGGGATCGACACGGCCGCGGACGACAGCGGATCACAACAGAGATCAGGGCATGCAAGATCATCGGGTTGGCAATAAGTCAAATCAGGTTGACACGCACTGGGCTGTACAAAGGATGCTGCACCTGGAGGAAACAGGCATGGGCAATCACCAACAGGAGTGTTGCCAGACAAGTCTGAAATGGAAGACTTCGCAACCAGCTCATAAACTTGAAAAGGATCCTCATTTACCTGGGTTCTGCCAAAACCGCAAGCGGAGGGAACTGGGCAATGCACAGCATGACAACAAGGCAAACCTTCGAAAGATCTCGATCGAGCAAGAAATTGGTCAAACAATTGATCAATCGGGCAACCTAAATCCCTTTCATACTGAAAATCACCAACACAAGGAACATGGTCAGTCAGGATACGTCGATCCGACCAGGGTTTCTGCACCATATCCAGCACTTCGGCTGGAACGGTGAGCGAATGCATACGAATTGAATCATCAACACCAATGAGCACCTCAACTGAGGGACAAAACGTGACAGCTACACGACCCACATGTGCGGCACGTTGCTTGACTTGGCAAATCGGTGGATGGAAAGTACAGCCTCCAAACTGTAATGCAAGCTCAGATGCGCGATGGGCCGCTTCCCATTCTGAACAAAAATCTGAAGCCTGTACGATGGAATGCTGCCACTTCATCTCAAACATACGGATATCGGGCAAAGTGCCCTGGCTGTATGGCCACTGGACATCATACTCACGAGTCATGCATGCCCGGCCGCTTGAAAAGGCGGAGCCCCTGAGGGGGAGGCAGACGGACCAACAGGCGGCTCTACCCTCTGGCGCTTGTTGGCCTGTTGCTCTGCGAGCATCATCTCGTCTGCATTGGCACTCAGCGTCTTCAAGCTTTCGCCCAAATGCTGAAGACTGTCGGTAATCTTCTGGGCGCTCGAATTTGCCGCCTCCTTTGACTCGCGCGACTCCTCTTCGTCGTCGCTGACCGTCTGGATGTCCGACTGGTCCTGTTGCTGGTCCTTCTGGAGCAAGGATTTGGAAACTGCCAGGCTGGAGCGGGCAGTTTCCAAAGCTGCACGTGCTGCATTGACTCGCTCCGATAAAGCCGTCTCCTGTTGCTGGAACTGCTGGGAGTAGGCCTGCCATTTGGAAACCTGCTCTACCAGGAAGGACCGCCATGAGGAGTGCAAAGACAAACGAGCCGCGTTTGCGTTTTGCAGCTCTGTCCGCGCTTTGCCCAAGGCATTTACCTGCTTGTGTAGCGATTTGATTGCTACCTCCCCTTCTTTCAACTTCATATCCTTCATCTCCTTCTGGATATCCGGGTGCAAACCCTCGGGATGCTTCTCGAGCAAGGCGTACATGGACCTGAGCTTTGCTTCGGCTGCATTGACAGCCGCTGATGCCGCTGTAGCATTGTAATCTTGAGAGGCAGAGGCAGGCGGAATGGGAGGTGGGGGGGCCATGAGCCAAGGGGCTTCCTGGTACGTCGGCAAAACGGCCGGCGGTCCCTGTGGTGCAGGCGGCTCCTGGTGGGCTGTCTGCGAGTGATTTGGATAAGCACCCTTCTGCTTGGTTTTGCCACGACCCTTCCCTGTAGTGCCCCTGTTTGAACTGGAACGGTGGCGAGGAGAATGACGTCGTGGTGATTTGACCCATTGACCCTCTTCCTGCCGTCCAACATCCTGCTTCCAGCTTCGATCCCGTCGGGAGACCTGCTGCACCCATCTCTGCTGTCGAGGCTGCCCTGTCCCTTGGGACTTCGGCAAATTCGAATGAGGTGTCCCTGTGGTCCAGTGCTGCCCACATATCGGGCAATGTACCGCTCGTTTCGCGTTGAGCGATCCGCACTGACATTTCCAGGGGTAGGAGTGATCCTGATGCGCCATCGCTGCAGTGATAGAACGTCGAATTGCACTCAAGAACTTTGCGTCCTTTGAATGATGACTGGATAGGCTTCGATAAAGGCTTCGAAGAGCTGTTACCCCCAACGGTCGGATATTGACCTTGTGCAAAAACCAACGTAGGCGAGCCTGTGCTCTGAACCTCCTCGTACGCCTTCTGGCTGCTGCAGATAATCTCGCCAATGTAGCAAATGAGAAAACTCCAGGCCAAAGAAATCATATACAAACACGCCGCAGCGAAAATTGTGAAAACAAGTGTTACGCACACTTGCAGAAGCGCAGATCAAAATTGTAAATCACAAATTGAAAGGCAAATGAAATGAAAACAGGTGTATTGTAAATGCCCACCTGCAAAAGCAAGAAATTGCAGATATTGTAACCCCCAGTGCAAAGCAAAATTCCAATGAATAATTTGCAAGCCACGACAAGGGAACAAAATCACCCAAGTGTTAAAGCACACTTGCAGAAGCTAAAGTCCTGAGCCACCACGCAGACAAGAACGAGTTCGATTGCTGCACGGCTCGAAGGACCAGAAGGCCGTACAATAACGGCCAAGGCGACCCCAAGGCACAAAACTGGGGCGCCCGCGAGCGTATGGCAATCTCGCTAAGGTCAGAAAATTCGGGGGGCAAATGCGGCACCTCGCCTCCCTCGAACCCAAACCTTTGGGATGGATGACATCCCATATATTATGGAAGATAAAAAATGTTTGAAACCACCAGCCAGTTATGGGTAAATCAACCAACTATTCATGGCCTTGTTCAATAGCTAACTGTGAGTTTACCAGAGGGTAAGCAAGAACAAAAAAGGGCATCAAACTGGGAAATCTTGGAAGTTTAAGACGCCGATTTTTCATGGGATATGTTAGGGACGCCTTCATTCCGGGATATGGTGGGATGGATTTTACGATGAATGTGGCCCCATCATGAGGGATTGCCGACAGCCCAGCTTGTAGGGGAAAATAATGGGTGGGCTTTGACCATGGCACATATGGGAAACAAAAAAAAATACTTGGTACAAACACTAATCCCTTCCCCTCAAGTATTGAATACCCCCAAGAAACCCTGGCTTATTGCTGGATCCTATTGAATCTATGTTGCGATCCCTCATAGGGGGTAGCAGCCGGGTAGCAACTGTGACAGTACCCATTGATAGAACTGGGGTCTATCATTATCTCTGGCAGCAAAGCCGATGCCCCAAGTGGGTATACACCAGCTGGTCGAATTTTGAGTCTTTTGTTGGGTTGTCAACATCAGTAAATTTATCAAACCATAACCCATTGATACAATATAAGCTATAATACAATGTAGAGAACATGATCTTTCAGAGTGACTTTCCCTTCAGGTCGATGTGAAGAAGATGTGAAGAACATGTTCTAACACCGCCTCGCGTACCACGTACGTCACGTACCAGATCTAAACTGTGGTAGACCCAACAATCCCCAGCTAACCTGGTCAGCTGGAAATTCCTCCATGGTAGAAAAATCCAGCTGGATGAATTTCCTGATGGGATTGTTCAAAATGTTTTTTTTGTTTAATGGGTTTTCGAATCATCTAGTTTTAGAAAAACATCTGTACTAGTAGATAGATGTTATATGATCTTATAAAGTGGTTGGTGGTTTCAACCCCTCTGAAAAATATGAGTCAATAGGAAGGATTATCCCATGTATTATGGAAAATAAAACATGTTTGAAACCACCAACCAGATAGATTTTATATGATGTTATAAAACTGGGCATTTTTGGAGGAGCCACCCCACTCAACGTTGGGAAGTTGACCTCAAGACCCCCCTGGCTGCGCGCCACGTTGCCAATGGCCGGGGCATTGTTGGGGGGACGTGGAGTAGTCACCTGCACTACTCAGGTGGCTGTTGCTGTTTGGTGGTGCTCACTGAGTTGGAGTAACAGCTCAGTCGTAGAGATTCTGCGCATCGCCTATGGGGGTTGAACCGCGTTTGAACCAGGAGACAGTGATAACGGACAAAATTACTTGTTCATTTTCATGCCATGAGCAAATTAGAATCGTCCCCTATCTGTAGTGAGGATTTCTGAGGCAACTCATACTTTGAGGCAACTCATGCAAAACAGGCGTCTCGGTATAGGGTTGTCCCCCATCGGTAGTGAAGGTTTTGCACACCCCTCAGCAAGGCCAAAGCGAAGCAAAACTAAATTAGTATTACAATCATTTCCTTCGTTACTCATATGTATATAATATTCCACCAAGATCGGAACATATAATGACCCCTGACAAATGAATGTAGAGATATTGAGACCCAAATGATCAAAGGAAAGGCCATGGATGGTTGGCACTAAGCCAGGCAGCCAGATCGCCGGCTTCGAATGGATTTTGATCTCCAAACGAATGGTGTTCGGTACGAGGGGTTTTTGTGTTGGGATCGGTACGTGATTTTTTGACCATTTAGCAGCCCCAGAATGGCATCTTTAAGATGGGAGTTGGAAAAAACCCTCTTCTTCATCCATCAACATCATCATCTAGTTGGGACATGCTCAAACCAACAGGATGAATCCAACATTTTTGATCATCCGTCGTGGGGGTTCTCGGAACTCCTCCCAGTTTCAATGAAAGAGTTGGAAGATCATCCAGTTATATAGATGATTGGAAGATCCCCACTTAGATTAATGGCCTATAACATGCTCACAAGAATCACTATAGAAACCCCAAAAAAAGATAGGAAGGTCATTTCTTACTAATTTAGAATTGGGTTGTGCTTTTCTACATCCTTTTGGAGCTTGCGTCCTGCCAGTTAGACCCGGACTCCGGTGCCTGCCACCTGAGATGTCCGTCCATGTCAAAGGCGCTCAAAGTACCAGGCGTGTCTTCCCCCGAGAATTCTTTGCTATAGAAAGGATGGTTGTTGTTCACGGCAAAAACCTGTGCGCAAAAAACATGATACAGATCTTTGGATATATCAGTTGATATTTCATGGCAGGTGATGTGATTTCATGGTTTTATCGGGGAAACTCTTGGTGATTTTCGGGGTACCCCTGTTTCTCAAACAGGATGTTGTTGTGCCAGGATAAGCACCAAAGACCGGAAATGGGGATCCAACAGCCTTACGAACGCAACACATAACACAAGAAGTGATGAATTTAGCCACCAGAGGTTAGGATTTTATGATCAAACACAGGGATTTCGTGTCTCAAGCATCACAGATCTTGAGGATAACCAAAGGACTCGACCAATCCCTAGGATGCCCTCCAGTAAAATAACATCGCAAAAGGGAAAATCCAGCATGTGTAGATCATTTTCCCGAACGGGAATCCCATGGATTTCAACATCTACGTTAGTTTACTGGAAGATATTTGGGACGAACTGGATGGAGCCTGCAGAACCTCAACAAGACTATGCACCACCAATGTGCCCACCTACATCCACCTGTTTTGCCCATCCGATTTCAACCCGTCCCCAAGCATCGCAGGCGTCCTATGAAAAATGAGGAATACTGCGACTATGGATTTCCTCGAGTATCAAAAAGAGGTGGTGCTCGCACCAAATTTCAGGGAAAAAACAGAGGTTGAGTTTTTTTTCAATAACCTGACCAAACTGTAGTTGGTTCATCCCTAGTCGCCTGGTTGGATAAATCATATTTGTTTATTCAGGTCACGTTTTACCAAGCCCCCACGTATTAAAGAGAAAACACATTAAAACTTGGTGGATTGCCATACCCGTTCCTTACTCATGTTGTAAGAAACCAATGGAAACCATACCTTTGCCATGGCCATTTTTGGGGGGCACTCTCTGCAATCAAACATGGCAACTGGAGAATTTCAATGGAATGGGTAAATCATCTGCGAATGGCCTGGAACAATCGCTGATTGCCATGAGCATAAACCCTTCAGCCGCGTATGCAAGATTTCACCATTCCAATCCAAGACTAATTTATTTTAACCTACCCTTCGCCAAAGTTGGCCTCGTGTTTTCAATGGTTAAGCATGGTTAAACCCATTCTCACCAATTCCAACTAATTAGCATCGACATATCTCAATAGTTAAACCTATATTTTCATCTACCAAGTCCCCATGCTGTGTCATATGAGCCATGAAAATACCCCTGTCCCATCCCATTATACTGAATTATACTGCTTGATCGATGAGTATCCCCATCTTGGCCACAATCCCAAATACACGTCAAGAAACCAGGTAATCAACAATGTTTTTATATAAAGGTTCATACACATGAAGTTGACGTACATAACTTGGTGAACGTTTGGGTCAATATGGGTTATAGCGCATTAAGTAACTATTTCGGGGGCTATAACCCAATAAACATAACGTTTTGGGTGGCTCTTCCTGTAGCTGGTGAATGCCTCGCAAAATGGTTCGATGATTTATCCATTAAATAGTCTGGTGATTTTCCAAAGTTATGTTAGTTTACTGATGAATAATTATGCTGGATAAGTGATGAATCCCAGTAATTTGGAAAATAGGTGAATATTAATTATGGTGAAATAACAATGGCCTCTGGTAAACAAACAGTTTCCCATATTTTTTTTGTGAGTAAAAATTGGGTACCCCATATTCCATTCAATACTTAAGATGGCTAATACATGTTTAATACTAAACATAGAACCATATTGCCAATACTTAAAATTACTTTACTTCGTGTGATCCCCACCATGACATTTATACATTTTGTTACTGGCAAATCTTCTGGCATTCTATCTGACATATTTTCTGGCATATCTTCTGGCATTCTACCTGGCATATCTTCTGGCAAATGTTCTGGCATATCTTCTGGCAAATGTTCTGGCATATCTTCTGGCAGATGTTCTGGCATATCTTCTGGCATATCTTCTGGCATATGTTCTGGCATATCTTCTGGCATTCCATCTGGCATTCTATCTGGCATATTATCTGGCAAATCTTCTGGCATTCCATCTGGCATTCTATCTAGCATATCTTCTGGCATATTATCTGGCAAATCTGCTGGCATTCTATCTGGCAAACATTCTGGCACTTTATCTGGCATATCTTCTGGCATTCTATCTGACATTCTATCTGGCATTCTATCTGGCATACCTTCTGGCATTCTATCTGGCATATCTTCTAACATTCTATCTGGCATATCTTCTGGCACTCTATGTGGCATATCTTTTGGCGTGGATACTCGCTGTTGAGGTCCGGCAGGGAACACTTGGCGTGGATGGTCGTGGTTGAGGTCCGGCAGGGAACACTTGGCATGGATACTCGCGGTTGAGGTCCGGCAGGGAACACTGGGCGTGGATGGTCGTGGTTGAGGTCCGGCAGGGAACACTGGGCGGGGATGGTCGTGGTTGAGGTCCGGCAGGGAACACTGGGCGTGGATGGTCGTGGTTGAGGTCCGACAGAGAACACTGTGCGTCGAGGGTCGCGGTTGAGCAGGACGAGGAGGACGACGAGGAGGACGACGAGGAGGAGGACGACGAGGAGGAGGAGGAGGACGAGGACGAGGAGGACGAGGAGGACGAGGAGGAAGCAACTGACATAAAATCTAACAACCCTCACCTGGCAGGTGGGGAAAAAAAATCAAACCATAGAAGTAAAACCTCTAACCATATGTTTAACCATATTAACCATATTAACCCCGAAAAAACATATCAAGTAAAACAATCTTAACCCCTAAAACCTTATTAACCCCTAAAATATTAACCATCTAAGTAAAACCATATTAATTAACCACATTTCCCTCTGGTAAACTAACATAACTATGGAAAATACAATTTTGAATGGTAAATCAACTATAAATGGCCATTTTCATGAGCTTTTTGTATGTTTCCCTGGGTCCCAATCATTTTCACCCACCCTTCGCAGCGTGCTTCGGCTTCGGGCAAGGCGCCATGCCGTTGCCCAGCGACGCGCCGCCGTCGGTCCAGGTGCCCTCCTTGCCGCCGGCCTTCCACAGCACTTGGCCGCCCAGACCTGGAAACGGAAGCAATGGTGAGTTTCATATATATATAGTGTGTGTATATATATATATTTATATATAGAGAGAGTGTATATATATATATATATTATTGTATATATATATATTATTGTATATATATATATATTTGTATATATATATTGTAAATATATATACACTATATATATATACCCTATATATATATTATATACTATAAACTATACATATACAAAATATATACATATACAAAATATATACATATACAAAAAATATATATATATATACGAACACTATAATATATACTCTAAATATAAATATATATATTTATTTATTTACATAGTGTGTATATATATATATACTATATATACATATACATACACTAGGTGCGGCAGCGCCTTTGCTTTGCAGAAGCCATGAAGTTTATTTATAGATGCCTTCGGCTGACCCCAGAGGCGTTTGTTAACAAACAAATTCTACGCCCAAGGCCAATATGGCTCAGACGATGACACCTTGCAATCAAGACTTGGAATTCTGGAGGTCCCCAAACTGTTTTCACCTCAGATTGTACCTTAATTATTTTCCATTGAGCCATTGTTTAGTTTGAGTGCTATCTCTGATGGTTGGGTCCGCAATGAATGTCAGGCCTTGAATAGCGTTGCAATATACAAAGGTTCTACTACAAGTTCACGTCATGCAACGCAAAGAATATGAATGGCAGATAGGGTTAACACTGTTGCGCCACGCCTCAAGCAGCGCACAGAGTCAAACGGCGGCAACATGTGTATGAGGCAAAATCTGAAGCCAGAGGGTGGGTACAGCAGCTGTGGGCTATTTAAAAGTATTGACCGTCCACTTCTTGAGATACCCAAGTTCGAAGGTTATCCGCACAGACCCCCCAAAAAGAGAATCCAAGTCTGGGACATTGACAAATAGGGAGGCTAGGGGCAAACTATCCAACTCTTACTGCCACATGGCTGTCGCAATGAATCTAGCTGCCAGCTAGTGTAGCCACTAGAACCAAAACGGTTTTGAAATCATTCAAAAAAACACGAGTCATGAGCCTTTATAATTCCCAGTAAAAACGGTGAATAAAAAACGATTTCAATGTGCCAAAAAAAAAGTTTGGGACATGTCCACCCCCATTATCGATCCAGTTTTTGTTTGAGCAAATCTCAAAAAATCCAGAAACCATCACTGCTGCCGCCGTTAAACAATTTGGTCCAAAGACTCATGCGGTAGATTTTTCCGGTCATGTCTTGGAAAATCATCGTTTCCTCGCGAACGGTGAACTGGGGCGCAAACTGGGGCGCATCGGTCGTCATTCATATGGGCTTATGGGTAGCCATGAATCCCCGGGTGAACAGCAAAATAGCTGCTACATGGCTACCCATAACCACATATCAATAACCAGGGGATTCATGGCCAAAGAAAATATGGCATGATAGGTTTTAAATGGTTTTAATCATTTTAATCCATCCCCATGACTTACTTGAAACCACCAGCCACAGAACTTTTGATCGAACATGAAACCTCTCAGATCTGTCTCTTCCCCAACAATCATGGAGAGAACTGCTGGAGCTTTCTTGTAAAGATCAAACATCGTCAAACACTCACAAATGACATTGCAAAGAACAAACACACCCCCAATATCTGAAATCTGCATCCTACAAGGGGGCAGATTTCATCCATCTTCGTCTCATCAATTTGCATGTAAGCCACTGCCAATAGTAAACATATATATATATTTATAAATACATACAGTAGATAATGAATGATAGTGATCCCCCCTAGGATTGTCATATTCCCCAAGTGGAATTCGGCCACCCAGCCCGGCCGAATTCATCACCATCCTTGTCCGGGAACAAGGCCAGAAAGTTCCACACTGGCACGTCAGGTTCGAAGGTCCACAGAATCTCTCCATCGCTGGCGTTCAAGGCCTGACTGCCCATCCCTTGCAATCTGAAGTGATGGCTTCGATAGTTGGAAAGATTCGGCTAAGCTGAGGGCTCATCCCCGCGATTCGGTGGGTTAGCCCAAATCGCTGGGAGTCTGGCATGTCCAGCTGTTTCTAAGTGGATCAACTGCATGTCCTTTTGGAAAAATAGAGGTGCCAGTCTAGTAATGTCTAGTATACCAGCTATCCACTTATCATCATGTACCTGAATGTACCTCTTGGGTGTTCAATGGAGGTTAACTTCTTTACAAGGTGGTCCATAGGTCAGCTAAGTTGGTTTACAACTAGTGGGGTATATGGGTTTATAAAGCTACAAACATAAGTGGGGAAGCACCACACTGCATCTGATTCCCCCAACTAATATAATACATATATATATATATAATATATATATATTGACTGTATGTATATATATATATGGTTAATTAATTACCGATGTCAATCAGCCCTTATTGATCCTTCTTGGTGGTTGGTGGCAACTCAAGCCCTCAAACCCAAACATTGGGGGGATCACCGTGGTTGGCGAAATCTTCATGAATCCTCGCATCAACCAGTTGATGCTGGCCGAGGGTTGGTCACCAAATGATTCGCTGTGCCCATGGTTGAAGGCTCACGGCAATCACCGGCAGAAAAGACCACGCCCTCGTGCACCATGGTAAATCCTCAACTCGGCTGGTTGGGGAAAGCCATCTGAAAAGAAATTCAACCAAGAAGACGACCATGGACTGGTTGTTGGAGGCTGGAAGACTTAGATTCCTCTAAAAAGTAGTGATTCTCAGGGTCTGTGTCAATTGAGGGATGGCAAAAATGTTATATGGGGATCATCACAGGCTTGAAGGTAAAGAAAAATGGAAACCGCCACGCAGTCATTTAAGACCACAATTTCTGGTGATTTTGTCCAATTTTTGGGGCGTTGAGTCAATCACATATGTTGCTGAAACTTCAGCTGCAGGTACAAAGAAAATTGGAAGCCACTAAATATTCCCGGGCTAGTCATGCACCATTCACTAGTGAATGACTTGGGGAAATCAAGGGTCAGGATGCGACGTTCCCTTCCTGGATGCCTTTTCTGCCTTTCACAGACATGGACGCCCAGAAACAGAGACATGTGTTATTAGTATATATATATAACATAATTATATATATATATACACATAATCAAGGAAAACCAAAGCTCGGCAGTGACCATGGCTCAGAGATAAAACCTGCTCTTCACAAGTGTGTTGCGCTTGGGATTTTCTGCATATTCGATAGGCAAAGGTCCTTCCTTCAAGGTGGTTTCGAAGTGAAATGTGTGTTGGTCTATAGCCCCCATGAACGTAGATATTACCTACCATAAACCCGAGTTCAGTCATAGTGCTTAGCCATGGTCTCATGTGTCCCAAGGATCCGTTGTCTTGGCAGATGGCCTTGGAGGTGTTGGTGAACCACGCCGGCTTGCCCGTCTGCATGCTCACCGCTCGCACCCCACCGCCGGTGTCACTGGTAAAGACGGAGCCTTGATAAATGGCAGGGGCGTTCATGAGATTCGCAGGGAGCACATTCACTTCCCATAGCTGCTTCCTGGGCAGCGGAGCTGAAGATGAAGAGGTGTCGGATTTTCAAAATCAGAGGGTTATAAGTTACAATGTCCAATATGTGTGTATATATACATATATAATAACTATGTATAAATATATATATATATCATACATTGTAGATTGGGTAAAATAGAATAATATAGAATAATGCCAACGTATTCCAACCCTTTCATCATCATCTACCAGGTTTTTTTGAAACTGCACAAATGGAGCGGAGCATCCCAATGGTGGAGCCCACAATGTGGATGGCTTCTGTCAATGGGGTAACTCTCGTCTCTCATCTATCTCATTGTCATGATATGTTCTGATATTATACAACATGTGTTCATAGCCATCACCCAAATGTTTTCAAATCCCTTCTGGCTGAGCGAACAGGTTTCATCGAATCCACTTGATCTGACTACCCTCCAGTAATCAGCAATTTGCAGATGATTGTTCCATTTGATGCCTCCATGTTGTTGGGAATTTCCCAGTTAGCCATATTTGATGATTTTTGATGAATACCATCCGCCCAATATTCAACACCCCCTTTCTATGGTCAGTATATGTAAATCCACTAGTAAACCCTGGTTTCTGGAGGCTGTTTATATAATGACGAGCATCCCATCCTTGTCGAACTTTCGCAGCCCATCGGCAGCCGAGAGGTAGACATTCCTGAGTTGTACTTGGCGGAGGCTAGGGCGGTGCCCCCTAAGGTAGAAGGGTGATGTATAACCCCATCTGCTACTGGTTGGTGGTTTGAACCCCTCTGAAAAATATTAGTCAGTTGGGATTATTATTCCCAATATATGGAAAAAAAGTTCCAAACCACCAACCAGGTTATCACCATCAACCCTGCTAAAACTACTTAGAAATCAACTTAGCTCATTGCCTGGCACCAAATATGAGTGGATTGAGGTATCATCGCATGCAAAAACAAGTGGGGAAGGAGTGAATAACGATTTTCACGATTTCAATGGCTGATTGTCAGCTGCAATTGGCGGCTTGGTAGCCAGGCAAATACCAAGAAAATGATACTTAAATTGATCAAAAAGAACCAAAGAAGTGGTAATGTTTACAGGGACAGTCATAGAGCCCCTTGGAGGAAACGACCCCAGATTTTCTGTTGAGACTTCATTTTCCTTCCATCATCTGAGCTGCATCTGATGGTCGATGGCGGTGCCCCAGGTCAGGGTGTGAAAACGTCCTGCCGGATGATGCCAGGACCACTTCAGACTTTGGTTCAGGAGGAAAGGTCCAATCTCCTGTGGCGCCGCGACGTGACAGTCCATAGGAAGGGTTGATGATATATTTTGATGTGCATATATATAAATACCTTGACCTACTAAACCCTGGAAAAAAGTAGGGTTTGTCTGGAAAACCCGGTTTTCCGGGCTTGACATACCGATAACCCGGTTTTGCTTCCGAAAACCCGGTTTTCCATGGTTTTCCTGGAAATCGGATGACATCGATGAATTGGTTCATCACAGGAGGCTCTATGAAAGAAACAGCAGATCAGGAAGACACCAAATCACAAAATTGGTGGAATTGTGATGTTCAAGATTCAGAAGTGCCCCACGGTTGGCCACATTCATTCCAAAAGCATAAGAATTTCCGAAAGTATCAAACCACACCGGCCCGACGGTATGCGGTGGCCATTTTCATTCGGCTTTGGCAGGGCTCCCCAGTCAGCAGCTGCTTTGCTCCTGCGCATCAGGTTGCTGGGTGAAAACCATTTTCTTAGAGCCATTTGGGGTCAAACCGTGCCTGTTTGGCAAAATGAGTTCCGGCAGTCTTGCTAAGTCTGCACCCGATCCTGTGTGTGATGGCTTGTCTGATGAGTGGGACAAGATTGAGGTGATCCGTGATAAACTGAGAGATGGCCACCAATTGGTGCCAGAGGGGACGAGCACCGAAGGTATCCAGTCTGCAGTTGCAATCAATGAGGTCTTGAAGCCAGTCTTGGACCGGATGGAGCTCCACTCCAACAAGTTGCCAGAAGTAGAGACTTTGCGCGAAGAGATTCAGAAGCTCTATGTGAAGAACAAGCAAAACCGACCAGCGGCCGATATCGAATCCGATGGCTGGATCATTCGAAAGCTTTGCACATTCGTGAAAATGAAGTGCCGGCGAGTTGAGGTCAGCCTAGAACCTTGGCCAATTAAAAACAACAAGTTAATGGCACCCCATCCACAAAGATACACTTTCGGGACTGGAGCGACCTAAAGGGACAGTAAAATCGGAATTCGGTGGTCATTTTCATTTTCTGTTGATTGGTGGGCTGCCGCCTGTTAAGGATGATACTTTCCAAGCGCTAGTTCTGACTCTGGCACCGCACCTGGAGGACATATGCATGCTGTCTCGTTTTTTACATTGAACCATGTCATCGGATATAATAACTACATGAATTTGGACATTGAAGCAGAATCGAAAAACCATAACCTTATGGCGATATAATAAATTCTAACCTTATGGCGATAAAATAAGATATCGGAAATTTGAAGATCAAAGCAACTAAAGCTTTAGATGCATGAACTTTTGCCCAGGAGGTTGTAACGGAAGTGAACTCCCGGAAGCCCAAGAATGAGGAAGAGGACATAAGTCTTCCAGTCAGTTTTCCATTCACCTCATACTATCACTTCTGGCGCCCATGTGTCTTATGTGCAATCTAGGAACAAGATGAAGATGAGGATGAGTATGATCCGGGAACTAAACCTCCCGCTGCCCCGGCTAGTGTGCCTGCGGCAGCTACTCCCCCGCCTGCCGCTACGCCCAAACCCAGCGAGTCCTTGCCAGCCGAAGAGGTTCCTCCAGGTTCTTCAGGCCTGGCACTGGGTTTTGTCCAACATGAGAGTGTGTATGACCTAGTAAGCCATTCAGTATCTTGGCAGGTGATGTGTCCAAGCGCTTGGCAGCTGCCAACGATTTGCTGAACCAGTCCAATACTCAAGTCAACCAAGTTCCATCATGCTATCAAGTATTCAGCTTGTAGGGATAGAGACTCAGGATCCGCGAGAAGAAAAAGGAATTGGAAAAGGAAGAAGTCACAGGCCCCTTCATTTGTAGCATTTGAATTTGGTTGTTGGTTTCTTGTCTCAAACCTTCAAACATGACCATCAACACGATTTCCATGGGAGGATCTTCATCGGTTGGTGCTCCTGCCGGGGACTTTACTGAGACCCAGCCGGTGGATGTTATGGTATTGCCAGTGCCCCCCGACCGTTCCCAGAAACACATGTCACCAGAAACGAGCGAAGAGAAACGAAAGAAGTTTCAAGTAAAAAGCCTTCATACTGAGACTGCTGAGTTGCCTGGTGTCCAATCCACGCCTGAGAGTGTCCAAGCGCCTCAAGCTTCTCTCCAAGCTGTGCCTGCCCAGGAGCCGTCTCACTTTCTACGCATTAACTGCCCAATGTATCCCTATGTTGAACTATGCCTGTTTGTTTCCAAAAAATATTTAAATCGATGTGTTGAAAACCTGCTGCATACCAGGAGGCATCCACAGCGATGGCTCCGGGAGTTGACGCTGACGCTGAGGACAGAGAAGTTTTGAGACGAGAAGATCAACTTAGGAACAAGAAAGAAAAGAAGAACAAAAAGGGCGACAGCAGCAAGCCGAAGCCAAAGTCAAAATCTAGAAAGGGAAAGGGAAAGAAAAAGACCACCTCTGCTCTTGACAAGCCGACAGCAAAGCCGGGTGCAAAGGCTCGAAAGCTTTTGCGATCAGCCAAAAAGAAAAAGCAGGACTCAGAAGAAGGTGAGGTAGGTGATGAAGGAACTGCAGCAACCGCAGCCCCCACAGCAAAGGCTAAGGCAAAATCGAAGGCGGCAACTTCCCCGAAAGGTGGCAAGGCCAAGGCCAAGCCAGGTTGTAAGAAGCCAGCAGCTAGCGACAATGTTGAGCCACCCAAGAAACGTATCCGGCGCAAGACCAGCCAGTGGGAAGACGATGACAAACTTTACGATCAAGAGTTGTATGAGGCAATCCAGGATTATGTTTACAAATTCACTACTGAGGATGCGGGCAACCAATTCAAGAAGAAAGTGAAATACCTTTTGAATTTTCAGATGTTGCATTGCACCATCGACCCCTACTACAGTAGGCAAAGTTGTATCACGAAGGCTCCCAAGGACATCACAGCCGATGGGAAAGACACGTCCTGGTGCTTCTCTTTTTATGCTGACTCAGAAAAAGATGGCCCCTATTGGCAGTTTGAGATGGCTTGCGCGATCATGTGCGCTCACCTCATGGTACCTAGACTCAAAGCATGAAAATGGAGTCCGATCCTTTGATATTATTTTGAGCCAAGGTGCTGAAAGCATGAGCTGTTGTCGACGTTGTCGATGTACTTCGTTCCAGCCATATCCAATCGCCTCATCGTGCTCAGGCACAGCAGGTGGATCTTGTGGTGGACAAATTGGACAAGGTGTCAAAAGATCATCCGATGTTGGCAGGGCTCCCTGAGAAGTTGCGCTACAACGGCCAATGCGTCATGTGTGAGATCAAGCAGGGTCAGGATGTCGACTAGCTGATTAGCTGGAATGCGATTTTCACCGAGAAAGCTGTGCCCTGTATGGCACAGGATTTTGGATACAAATCGCCACTGCCATTTTCGGCTTCCAACAATCTTCCAATGCTGGCAGCCAGTTGGTGTTCCGAGTGTTTCTAATAAAAACAACTTGACACTGGACACTTTCCTCGTGATTTAGTCGATCGGGCATGGTGGCATTCAAGATAGAAAGATCATGTCCTTACTCTTCAGGGGTCCCAGCTTGAAGGGTAGAAGGCGCCCCATGGTGAACAAGTTTCCCACATTTTTCTGTTGAAATCTGAAATTCCCACTTTCACTTCACTGGCTATAGGGCTAAGGGGTGCCTCGCCTTCATGTGCGGCTCGGCTTTCATTCCATGCCTCAGCCTGCGCTGACCGGAAGTGCCACGTGAGAAAATGCGTCTGTGTGAACTTTCCGATTGGGTGCAAATAAAATTGTGTCCCCAAGAGAACAAGCTCTTCAAGAGAAAATGAGGTTTGTTGTGCTGAAATGTGATCACCGATTGAATTTGCAGAATTGCAGCTCTGTGGCAGCTTCGTGTCTTTCAAAATTTGCTAGTGTTTTTTCGTATCCAGGAGTCAGTAGTGTTAAGGACTGCACCACACCAACTGAATTCTTAAGTAAAGAGAAGTGCTCATTTCAGCACTGTGGGCGAATCCCAAATTAAGCAATCATGTTTCTTTCTCCAGCTTCTCTCGCCCAGGCCTGCATGGGCAAATCTTCGAAGGCGAGAAACCTGAAGAAGGACCTGTGGAGGGTTCGGCTCCAGCTGAAACACCATGGTCGTCCACCTGGCTAGTTTAGCAACACTTCCACTTTTCACGAGTTGATTCATGCAATGTGCCGGATGAGATCCGATCAGAAAAAATCATTTGGCAAAACATGAAATTTCAATCAAAGATTTGCTGGCTCCAAGATGAATTTGGATCTTCTTGTATGGCGGTTGCGGGCCATGGGATGCCCGAAGGCAGGTTGTAATTTATCCCCACCAATCCGATGCTTTCAGATTCACAAAACCCGATTCCTTATAGATCCTTGTAGCACGTCCTTTCCTCCTGTGCTATCAGGCAGTGGTGGCTGTTCTGGTGATGCTGCATTGGGTTGAAGGCCAGTTTGACCTCACGAAGGACACTTCCGTCCGAGTTGTTTGAGGTGAACTATAGATTGTACTCAATCAGAAAATTTGAACATCACCTGCGGCAGGATATTGATTTTCTTGAATATTTCGCCGGAGCTGCAAACACAACAAGATTCATGAGATGTGCAGAGCTCCGATCGGCCAAATTTGACTTGTTATACTTTGAGCCCAAGAAGCAAGGCAAACGGAAAGGGTCTAGATTCACCAGAAAGACCGAAAGCAATTTCATGGATTTGCTCACTCCCAGTGGCTTCTTGTTTCTTGCATTCCAATTAGACTTGCGATTTAGAATTTCGACCTCTCTTGCCACTAATCCCACTGTGTCCCCAGCCCCAATAGCTGAGACGCCTAGGCTGGCTTTGATCTTCGTCCTCAAGGGCCGGTGCAAGCCGGGATTTCTTGTGGTACTGGCCACGAAATGCAGCAGCATGGTGGGTATCAACGTTGGAACATCCGGGAGATCTAAATGCAATAGCATTGGCTTGCTTGACGTGGCATCTGTGCTGATTTCCAATGCCTTAACAGAAAGGACTGGTTTGTTTTGCTTGTTTCATGCACGTAATTTTTGCAGTTGGTATCCAATCGGTTTGTGCCCGGCAAC